CTGAGTACATGTCTATCTCTGCATTAAACATGTTGAAGGATATGAATATATTCAGATTATAATAATTATCATGATTAATGTATAGTTTTGTGTTACTATGGTTACCTAATGTCTTTTGACATGAACAGAATTTGGAAGTCCTTCATCACAATCAGTGTCATGCGTTATCTATATACCTAACTAAGTAACTTGTTTGTGTGAGTGTTATTGACATGAACATTGGATTGATGTGAAAACTACAACATGTGCAGTGTTTATTGTTATGGTTATCAAATGGTTTTGTGGCATATAACCTGTTCATGTGGAATATTGTATAAAATTACAACTTGGTATTGAGGTATGGGGTTGAAACTCTATTTGTCATGTTTGCATTTACAATGCTGGCTACATATTTCTACATGTAATTCACATCCGAATATCAACTCTATTCACTGCATGTATACATTATATTGATTGTGTTTTGATAGCTGTGGCGTATCAGCATTGATCACGGTTCACTATTGCTTCGATTCGGTTCGATGTTCGATTCATACCTTCGATTCGATTATTTTCGATTCGATTATCAAATCTAAGAAATTTTGCATAAATATATGAAAAATTTGATCCAAACTGTAATCAACCACTGTGTAAATGATTACACAACACTTTTAACTTCAACACATTTATTAAACACTTAAGTAGTGAGTCTGTAGCCCCTCAACATCAAAACAAGCTTCAAGTAACTGAAAGAACTTTGCAATTGCAAGAAAAATGTTCATTGTTGATTGTTCAGACAGTTCAACTTCACTGCTGGACCAGATCAGCAGGGATGATAATGTTTTTGGACAGAAATACCAACATGTTGACATTATCACTACTCAAAGAAGCCCTCTGGGCAGTAACAACATCCCCTGCTGTTGAGAGAAAACTCTCTCACTGGCAACACTTGTGGCAGGTGTGCTGAGGCATTGTTTGGCATACTTGGATAGCAAAGGATACTTCCCTTCTCTGACCCTCCACCAACTCAAGGGATCAGAGTCAAGATTGGCAACTTCATCCCTCTTTATACATTTGAAGTTCCAGTTCTGTTCTCTCATAGACACTCTTACCTTCCTCCACATGGGTGACAAACACATCCCCAAAGAGATCTGATAGAGCACAACTTTCTTCTACTTCTCTTTTATTTTGGAAGGTGGTTCCTGCAGAACATCATCATCAGCAGCTTGGTCATCTGCTGCAGCAGTAGATGTTGATGGAGTTGGTTCTGTGGGAATGCTGGGAGTCTGGGTTCAGTACCATCAGTGGGCTCAGCTGGCTCAGTCTTCACCTTAACCTAAAGCACATAAACTTATTTTAACTGATTGTGTTTTGTTAATTTATCACATTATATAAATTTTCATGATATGACAGCCACAGATAGATTTAGACTTTTAAGTGGAAGGATTCAATCAACTGCACAGAAATTGACAGAATGGAATAGTTTAACTTTTAACTTATCATTTGTGGACTACTGGGCTATTGCCTATTTGTTAAAGTTTTATTTCATTTAATTTTATATTTATATTTATATTTCATTTTATATTTATATCCATATTTCATTTTATATTTTATATTTTATATTTATAAAAATATTTATATTTTATTTATATTTTATTGTATGTATTGCTTTTAAATGCTTTTAATAAATGTTTGATGTAGAATATTTACTGACAGCTTTCTGTCCAATTGAGTGATAGACCTCATGCCTCTTGTGCTTGTAAGGTAAGGCAGAGCCTTAAATCTGGGGTCAAGGGCTGACGCATGTAGCAAGAACTTCAAACACATCCTCCTTGCAATATCTAAAAACAAACATTGGGACAATGTTTTAATAATAAGTTACATAATGTGATAATATGATATTATTCAATATTCATATGAAATATTTCAAATAATGTCAGTTCAATGTTGAACAAAGAAATTATACATGAAACTACCATTACAATAAATTCAGTAAATTTGTCAAATATTTCAAATCTCAAAAACCAAATTCAATCATTGCTAAATGATGATGAATTATAGACAGTTTCGAGTTTTGTCACATTTAGTAATTTAGAAAAAATTCATACCTTGGCTGAAGGTCATTGCTGATAGTTGATTTTAATTCTGACACCAGGTCACTGTCTTCTGGTTTGACTTGCAATTGTTTGAGCAGCATCTCCTTCAGGGGATGTATGAGAGAAACTGTAGGGTTTTTCTGGCTGCACATCAAAGTGGTGACTGTTTTCAATGGTTTCAGAACCTGGATAATTTTCTATTTTTGTAATGTCATCATCATTCAGAGTCACAAGATCTTTGACATTCCTTCTAATGTCTATGAGGGTGGCAAAGACAGCAGCTTGCTGTTCCAAATATCTTTGTAACATATCGTCACGCTGAGTTCCATCGCATGGGGAACATCACCTATAAGTTTTAGAGTTTTCAAGTCAAGTTTTTGCTGCATTACAGTAAGTTTGCTTGTTGCAGATGTGCTCTTGTGAAAAAGTTTACCACCCTTCTCACTCTCCCCAAAGTCTCTACTTGGTTGACTTTCAACCCACGCTGAGTGGCCAGATTAATTGTATGTATGGAAGCAGCCAATGTGTGGTTCCAAACCAGCTTCTTTGACAGCTTTAACAATATTACTAAGCGTTGTCTGTGGTGATAGCAGGACTTCATTTTCTTGAAAGCTCCCATGCATCAATAGTCAATGACAAACTTTCAGCTAAGTTTTCTGCCGTGGCGAGGATTCACTGAATTTCTTACGTTTCTAGAGTGTAATTTTGATTGTCCAATCTCTGTCAATAAAATGCGCCCGTTACTGCAACATAGTTTTCGGTCGCCTTTGACGTCCATGCATCAGTTGTAATGGATAGTGTTTCAGCTTCTTTCAGGTGTTTTTAACTCCTCATGACTACGTTTTTCATTATTGCTGGCAGTACTGTGTTGAGAGTAATGCGGCGTAGCGAATGTAATGTGTATCTGGGCTCAAGCATGTGAATCATATTTTTTAAATCCCTCATTCTGAACAGTTGAGAATGGCCTCATGTCACAAGCTAAGTATCCCCGATAGCTAGAAATAGCACCGGAATGACAAGCAGTCAATTTTACCTGTCTCATGACCTCAGTAAGTTTCATTTGCCCAGAATTTGTATTCGTTAGCCGTTTTGGTTCGCTTTTTGGGTCAGAGTTTCTTCGAAGTTTTGGTCATATCGAAGTCCGCGGTTTTCGTTTTAAATGGTTTGACAGGTTAGTTGTATTGCCTGATTTGTATGTAATATCTACGTAACATACACGACAAGTTGCCTTATCTTTTGAATCTTTCCGAAATCCAAAATGTTGCCATACCTTTGATTTTAAGTGGCATGCCGCATCTGACAGCACCACCGTCGTCTGCCATGCTTTCTCCGGTGACCAAGATAATTAATTCAACGAAGGGAGAGATGCACGACTATAAAGATCGTAACAATAGCCAATGAGATTACATGGTAGTGCCTAAATAGTATTTTGCCATGCAAAATTGGATTTCATAATAGGTGATACTAGGTTTTGAGGAGATATCACTAACATTAGACCTAATCACTATGCATTGCAAACATTTTTGGCATTCAGTTACTGTGACGTCACAAGCAAATGACATCACTTTGATGTGACATCACTATGATGGTTGTTTTACGCCACACTCAGCAATATTCCAGCTATATGGTGGCGGTCTGTAAATAATTGACTCTGGACCAGACAAGCCAGTCATCAACAACATGAGCATCAATCTACGTAATTGGGATACAAAGACATGTATCATGTGTATCAACCCAGTCAGTGAGCCTGACCACCCCAGATCTAGATAACTTTTTGGGTCACTGAGTTATGTACTCGCTTGTGTTCATCTCAATTGGGTATCCTAATTTTCCTTTGAGTAACCAAATAATTTGTACTCACCTCACTCAAACTCAATTGGGTATTTTGCCATTTTCCATTAATTTTATAAATATAATAAAGTTTAAATGTTAGAGTTTGTTATTTATATTTTATCTGTATTATGAGAAACTGCAAGTTGTCAAGTTCATTTCCTGAAATAGAACCTCGCAGTATACCTCAGTTATTTTATCTACCCCGGGTACACAAGCTAAGATTGACATTTTTGAGTGTACGCATGTAAGATCACATTTATTGGGTATTTACAAAAATTCAAGCGTACTTGTACGCAATAGACTTAATAGTATTTGGGTTTTCACATAAATATTTGCGTAATTTACCTCTGCCACCCGATCCCGTGAGTTGCCTCTTTCAATTGGCATGGGTTACTGAAGACCATTCTAACCCGGATCTTCATGGTTCGCACCACTATTGGCAGCTTGTTAACTGTTCTTTTTACATTCAAAAGACATGTTATAACTGTGTACATGCTGAAAAAGAATAATTTTGATGATATTGTATTTGACATGTTTATCACCCAGGGCACTTAGCTAATTAAAATCCAAAAGCGGCACATGTTAGGATACCTCAGTAAAGGCGGACGCTAATTAGAAGAGGTTTATAATAATACAGAACATTCAGTCAACAGGTATCGTTACCCATCGCAAACACCAACATGCTTCTGGGATAGAATATGTCCTCATCACCCCATTGCTTGTTGCAAAAGGCCACTACTAAACTGGGCAGCCTGTTCATGTTTTGGGAAGGGAGAGCAGTGGGTGCTACTGCTACATAATCCTAATGGAGGGTGCTTATTAAGGAAGGTGTGCTAAATATGTCAAATATGGTAAATAGAATTCATGCATCAACACAAGTTTTCTGTTTAATTTTTTACTGAATTCCATTGTGATATTTTTGCCTCTTAATCAGCTCATTTGTCATTGTTGAGCATGTTAAATTTGATCTGTGGTAAGTATGGTATTTACAAATAACTTTGCAGTGCTAGGAGTGATAGTCTTGCATTAAGTAAGATCACTTTGAAAAGATAAGGAAATCATCACTGATGTGTGATACCATTTCTGTGATTACAGGAAAGTAAAGAAGATCAAGTTCGGCACAGACACATATCATGGCTCTTCGTACGAAGACGTGCCTCTGGTGCAGCTGGAGGAGCTGGAAGAGGAACAGTTTGCAAGCTACTCTGGACCAGACAAGGGGCTTGCATTCGTGGATGACAAGGATGAGAACAGTAGGGTCTAGCCTTATGTACCATTCCTCAAATAACCAACCCCAGTTGGAACCATACATTCATTGCCAAAAGCATTTGACTTGACTAACCCAAACTTAATTTTGTAAATGTCCTGTTAAATTATAACCCTTGGCTGTCATATAAGCTACCGGTAAGCTTTTTAGACTTGGTCTGCTACTTAAGCACTAGTCCAAAGCGTTAGTCTAGTGAAGTTATGTTCATGCAAGTAAGCTCTGCTAGTAATAGTCCACATGATCTATAATAACACTAAAATCTATTGAAATCGCAGGCTATTTTTTAGCATAGATGATACATTGAGAGAAGGTTTACCAGGCTTTGAAAAAGGATACTCCATTTTATGTTCATGCTGGCTTGATCATTGTCTTGTCTGGGAGATATTGGTATTTTTATTCTAAATAAATATATGTAACATAAAACTGAAATACTGCGAATGGGATGATAAATTTCAACTCACTTGCCCGAAATGAAAATGGAATAGTTTCGTATTGTCTTCAAACAAATTAGAAAATAGTCAAAGTGTTAAGATGACTGTTTTCAGTAATTAGTGATATTTAGATATGCTTTTTCATACTGTTCGTGCTGTCATTATTACAATAGGCTTATGTTATTTTGACCATATGATTTCTATAATGTGTACAAATAACATTGATACATTATGCGTTTATTTTTTCGTCATTCTCTAACAATTAAATGTTTTAATAAAGCATTCTTTTTCTTCTTAATTTGCAAAATAATTTTCCTTTCAAAATACACTTAGCAGTATATTGGAGACAGTTGTATCACAGTTACTTCTTTTAGTAACAGGTGCATGTGTAATTTCAGATGGCAATGAGAAGAAAGTCGCTGGCTGCTTGTCTTGGAACAAGAAGGAACAGCAGGCATATGGCATCTGTATATCCTTATATGAGCAGCATCCAATCAATTTCAAGATGTCAGGTAGGTCCGTACTCTGGCTACCAGAGGACTAGGGAAGAGAATGATGTTTGGCGATGAAATCTTCAGGTTTCAAGCAGACCTTTAATGACTGAACAGTTCTGAACCACACAATGTGGTCAATGCCTCACGGTCCATGCTATTGGGGTTTGGGGGCGCTGGAGTAGCCTACGGTTTAAAGCGTTTGCCCGTCACACAGAAGACCGGAGTTCGTTTCCCCACATAGGTATAATGTGTGAAGCCCATTTCTGGTGTCCCATGTCGTGATATTGCTGGAATATTGCTAAAGTCGGTGTAAGACCATACTCTCTCACTATTGGGGTTTGAAGACTGCCTGATGACAGGTCACATGTTGTCATTTCCCAGTTCTCATTTCACTCGGCCTTTTACTAACAATAAAAGGGATGGTTGTGAATGCTTATATTTCATATGTAACAAGTATCAACTGACCAGTCAAGTTTTAAGTGAACAGGTTTAGACAATAAAATCCATCCAATCCATAATTTGACAAAAATTGTTGTAAAGTTGTTTGGGTGATGCATCCATCTTTACTCTCATCTCACACAAGCAGACTTGTGTCTATGTCAAACCCAGTTTAGAGTTTGGCTTCATGTTCAGATTGTTAATAAAGTAGGTGAAGGATATTTGATTTCTGTGAAAAGTACACTGAAAAATTAAGATGAAATTATATGTCAAATCCTTCATAATGAGTATGGGGCGGTGGTGTAGCCTAGTGGTTAAATCATTCACTTGTCATGCTGAAGGCCTGTGTTCGATTCCCCACATGAGTCACACACTCCACTCCACTCCACTCCACTCCACTCCACTCCACTCCACTCCACTCCACTCCACTCCACTCACTCACCACTCACTCCTCACTCACTCACCACTCACTCACTCACTCACTCTCACTCTCACTCACCACTCACTCACTCACTCACTCTCTCACTCTCCTCTCTCACTCACTCACTCACTCACTCACTCACTCACTCACTCACTCACATACATAATGAGTATCAGCTAATCAATTGATCTAACAGTTTTAGACTCCATAGGGCACCCTGTATCGTACCCTGTACCATTACAACTATATTTGAAGAGAAAACTATGAGTCCTAACAAATCTTTTCTGGTCTAATATTAGCAAGCTTGTGTCTGTTTCAGTTTCCTGTTCAATGTATGCTGTACCAGTTAGAGGAATACGAAAGCTTCATTGTTTAGGTATGAAAATATTAAGATGCACCATCTTTCTGTGATCATTATCTCTCAAATGTGTCTTTATGCAGGTGACCCGGTAGCTGATGCCTTTGCGATCTGTGCCAGGAAGAACAACACTATCCTGCTGATTGCTGATGGTGTCAACTGGGGGGAAAAGTCCAGGCTGGCTGCTCGCTGTGCTCTCTATGGCAGCATGAACTTCATCAACAAGAGGATATTTGAGGATAAGAAACCACCCTTGTCAACACAGGTTAGTCTTAATTGTTTACATTGTCCTGTGGAATGTTATCAGGCTTTTACCTTGTCTTGAGTGACTTGTTTCAAAGCATGGGCAGAGGTACAGATAAGCTGCGAATCTGCGTAAATTACGCAAATATTTATGTGAAAACTTAATTCCCATTGAGTTCTTTGCGTACAAGTACCCTTGAGGTTTTGTAAAGGCTCAATAAATTTGATCTTACATGCATGCATACAAAAATGTCAAATCTTAGCTTGCGTACCTGTAGATAGATAAAACAACTGGGGTATATTGAGAGGTTCTATTTCAACACATGAACTTGAAATATAAATAACAAACACGTAAACCGACATTTAAACTTTATTATATTTTCACAGTTAATGGAAAATGGCAAAATACCAAATTGAGTTCAAGTGAGGTGGGTACAATTTGTTAGGTTACTCAAAGGAAAATTAGGATACCCAAATGAGATGAACACAAGCGAGTACATAACTCAATGACCCAAAAAGCTATCTGTAGCTCCCTGGTGGGTTTCCATCAGTAATATGGGATGTGTTTATCCCAAGAGACAGGTAATGTTTTCAGCTTGATGTGGGTTCTGCAGAAGCTTTTAACAGGAAAGCATTATTAGCTTTCCCATACGGTAAAGTGCCCCAGTAAAAATGGATTGGGTGTCAGTCTTGGTGACAATGTCATTGTATCCTGGTGGACGTGGATTGTTGCTCACAATTTCAATCACTGGATTGCCTGGTCCTTATTTAATGATATAGGCTATCATATAGCTGGGAAAGTGTTAAATGTAGTACTCAACTAGAAACAAAAATAGAAAAAGGTTCTTTAGCTGGTCTTATGAACTTAAACCATCTTTCTTTCTTCCATATAATGACTAGAGGTACCTTTCTCAATATCATTCTATATTTTCGTTCTTGCCAATGTCATAGGGGCTTGTAACGCTAAAAACTGCCATCAAGGTATGTACTGTCACTGACGGGGTCTTAGTACTATATAGAAGGACTTTTATATAGTACTAAGACCCCGTCAATGACAGTACATACCTTGATCGCAGTTTTTAGCGTTACAAGCCCCTGTGGCCAATGTCACTTACTTGGGTATGACACCTGAATCTTTTGTGTGCTATCATCAGTCGAGCACGTAATACCTTCTCTTGTATATATGTAATGTGGAAATTATTTTTAAAATGATGTTGACACCTTTGCACTTTCATGTCAACATGTCAGCTGTCAACTGACAGTCATGTCAAGTGTCATTAGATTCAGTAAACTAGAACACTTTATGGCATCATTTGGCTTTTATATGTGAATTATGTATTTGTGCATTTTGAAAAAAAAAATTAAAATATGCAGTTGTGCATTGGCACATACATAACCAATGTATCCATGAATGCAATGTAATGTTTCTTTCACAGGATGTTCTCCAGTTGTTGCGACGTTCGTTCAATGAAGCTCATCGTATCATTCTGGAGAAGGAAGGAGGTCTCACAACGATGTGTGCGTGTATGATTTGCCCTGTAGCCAACTCTGATGAACATGCTGTGTGCTGTGTGAACGTTGGAGATAGTTTTGGATTTGTTTTCAGTCATAACAACGGCATACGTGAAGTGACGATAGGATCACATGACGTTTCTTCTGAGCGTGACATCCGTGATGCGGGAGGAGCCTTGGGTCCAGTGGATGGCAAAAACCCAGAACTGCATAATTTGACTTATTCTCTGACCTTTTGTCGTGCAGGAGATGTTGTGTTCCTCACCACTGACGGGATCTCAGACAATTTTGACCCGGTTGTGACTAAGATTGCGCTTCCTCGTAGATCAAATGATGACAACTTTAATAACATGTCCCCTGATTCTCCACACGCTGCAATGCATGCTAAACCCGAGATGGAACCCAGAGAGAGACACATATACTCAATGAAGGAGATGGAGCGTGTGGTTCATGAGTATGAACTCATCACAGAGGAGAACTGCTCTGCACAGGAGCTGTGTGGAGCTATGGTGCAACATGTCCTCATGCTAACTGATGGGAAACGTAAGATTCTTGAGAACCCTGCGCTATATGCTCGAAGGAAAATGACTTCCACAGAGCGAAAAAGACGTGATTCTGAGATAGTTGAGAAAATGTCCAAAGCTCCTGGGAAGTTAGATCATGCATCCATAGTTGCTATAGAAGTTGGTGCTTTTGATCCAGTGGATGAAGAGAATGAGGAGAATGTGTTCCCTGTTGATAATACAACTACCTCTGACTGTAACCCTGTCATAGCAGGCCCTCAGACTCTCCCTCTGCCCAGCCCCACACATGCAACCTCACCTCTCTCACCAACATCACCAAACTCAAAAAAATCCGGACCAAAGAAGTTTTTTGCTAAGCTGAAGAATATCCCATCTCCAACTCTTCCTTCTCCAAGTCGTTCCACCCCATCCTCCCTCCAAATCTCCCCCAGGAAGTCCCGGCATCGATGGGGACGTTCACGGCATGAATCTGAATCTGGAGTGCCCACCTCCCCAACTGTTCCCCAATCTCCAACCATACCTGAATCTCCACTAGAGGCAGAATATGACCCTGCTAGACACTTGTGCTCCCCGAAGACTAAGAACAAAGGAAAAGAGTACCAAAGAAGCTTATCGTGTGAGTCTGCTCTGTAGGCCAATGGTGACTTTGTGATCTCTACCACTCGGTAAACGTGATACGTAGATTTGTATCTAATGTTTCTCTAGGTATTATTCACAAACTGTACAAAAGATGTTTTGAAATATACTTTGGAGTCCTAGTTAAATAATGTTTGTGTGTTATGATAAGTTATGGAGGTAGATTAAGCTGGAAAACAGAATGATGAGGAACTGGTTGAAGCAGTGACTGGTAACCATATTTACAATGACTGAACCAGTGTTACTGTTCATGTCATGAAATTTTATGAAGTAAGATAAATTATCTTATCAGATTTTTTGTTTGGCACATGGTTATTACCGAAAGTTGCACTGAATGCAAGTAGGTTTCATTTCCTTAAATTGAGCCCTGAATTTTAATCCAGAGAGTGAACATCATGAAAGCCCATTCTCCTCATTTTATACAGAACTTGATGGCAAATTTTTTTCCCCCAATCCAAGTAGTCTACTGTTGTGTATTTGATCATTATACCTTACAAGGAAACAGTGGTACTCCAGTGGCATTGTTTTAATGGCTACCCTAAAAGGTTATGTGTTTCTTACCTCGGTACTAGGAGTTATTGTTACTACTATGATTAGTAAGGTATTTTAAAACATTTGGGTTAACAATCTTTTTCTTACTAATATCTTACTGGTTGCTGGTCCTTTACTTTTGAAAGTGTCAAAACTGCTGTTGAAAGTCCTAATCATGATGATATTCTACTCCAAAGAGTTAAAGGACCAACCAATTCTTTTACACTACTGTACACTACTCTACACTACTCTAACTCGGTAATATGAAAGAATTGAGTGGTTTTTAACTTGTTCTGATTACTGATGTTATTGACGAAGACAGGAATGATTCTGAAATTCCATGATCACACCAACTGTATCTGTCTAGTGTCTATATACTGCAGTTTTTGTATAGATTGTGATTATTTTATATAAGCTGATAGTGAAGGAATGTCATATGTTAAAGTGATAGGATATTGATGTTGTGGTTAGTTGTAGTGAAGTGATGAAAACAAATCTGTAAAATGGAGACAACCAAAGAAAACTGGTTATTTTATATGTGCCAGTGTATAACATGGTTCTATGGAGAAGAAAAATGTAAAGTAATTCTTTATTGGTGATGAAACCAAACCAGTCTCAGTAAAATCAGATCTTACTGCTCTAAGTCACTACACAAATATCTGTGGACATAACATCGCAGGTCACATCAGAATGGCTTTTCCACCCAATCACCATGATCAAGAGTGTTGCTATCTCGATAGCAAAAGTAAAAGTCCAACTGTGTTTTCTCATTATGCAGCCTCAAAAAGGTATATATTAGGAATAATGATTGAAGCATCATCTCTCGCTTCAATGGGATAAAATATTATGGAATTATTTTCCATAGTCTGTTAAAGTACTGCCATACAATCTTGACAAGCTTTTACACTTGCAGGATATTCTAATATACGGTTTTCAAACTTTGAATTGAGAGCTTGATTAAAATATTTGTCAAAAAGTTGTCCAGAATGGAAGTGTCTATTTTTAAATGTAGAGCTTGAGATGGCTGTTTTCTGATTTGCCAATATCAGCTGACATAAGGTGTAATGGAATATCTTCGGGTCTTTGTGTAGTTATAGCAAGCACTTGATCTGATTTTCATGAGATTTGGAAGCAAAGTGAATAGTGTTTAATGTGTGAGTTGTTTATAACATAAGTAATGTATTTACTATTAACACTTTATGAAATGTTATCAAATAAATTGCATACTTCTTGGAAAAGCAGCATGTTAAACATTTACTGCTGAGGTCTTACAGACAAAATAAAAAGACATGCAACAAATACTTGCATCACATGATTGTAATGTGTATAGCATAACTCAGGAAGACTATTTGGGTACCTGGGCCACAAGATTTGTAATGCTAGGTAACAAAGCAAATAAACTGAGACAATTTGTGATTTGTTCAGCTTCAATCATGTAAAGTTTGTGCTTACGAGAACTGGCAGGGTTGGTAGTTTTGCTAAATACTTTAATCTATAGTATTTATATATTTTAAATATTTTGCCAACATATGAATAGACTATTTATCTATAAGAAAATATAATTTCCCTATGTTTGGATGAAGATTTTGAAAATATGCATGTTTATTTATCTCAATATGCTGTGACATTCAACTGATGACGTCATACAGTGTTGAGAGGTCACACACCAAGGTTACCATGCAGTGACGTCATTGTATAAAGAATATGGCAGGGCTACTTTCATTCACTTCTGTCATAAGCAGTATAACATGATGAAAAGAAATGTAATTCAATTTTTTTTTATTCAGAACCTCATATATTTGACTATTTTAGCTTGTGATTCTTGGCTTAAAATGGTGATATTTTGATTTTGTATATCCTTAGCTTGAAGCAAACACCAGTATATTGGTGCTGTTCTGTATAACAAGTCTTATGATTACTATTTCTGTTAATGACATCACAATGTCAGTATTGGCAAACAACAAGAGAGGTAAGATGAAACCTCAGTTTCCAGTATGTAGTTTGTATACAGTATGTACAGGTCTATTATAGAAAAGTTACTAAAGTGAGTTCAAAGACACAGAACTCTGCATGCTGTTTGTCTTTTATCCAAACTAAAATATTGACTAGCAAAAATATTGGATTATTGGATTTTGAGAACTAAAACTTCGCTGGTTGAGTACAATATAACAACAGATGGGTTTTATATCGTCATTTTCTTAATACAACCCAGTGTGGTAAAAGAATAGCATGCATATTTCTTTGTTTTTTCTTTGTTTGGTTCGACTGAGCTAATGCCACCCTCACGTGTGATATCCTTAACCAATCTTCAAGAGTAACGGCATGTACAGTAGCTACGACTCTGATTCTGTAAGAGGTAATATTGTTGATGTTATTTATTTCACTGAAATGTATTTTAATATGTAATTTTATGCATTTTTTTCATTATCTGAATTTTACTGATTTAATGAGTCAGGAACAGTATTATTTATCTGTTAGTGTTGTTGTTGTTGCATGTGGTTCACAAATTTCTCTATTACATCTTTTAGTAACCATAGAAACAGGGTTGATGTGAATTATTTATGTTGATATATCTCTGTACCTATGCATGTAGGGCTTTCTGTAGAATACCCATTTTGTGTTTAAAGACTTGATAATGACACATTAACTTGATGATTAAGAATCTCATGGGGTTTGAGATCTGTCATGAAAAGGAGGTTTAACAAACTACTGAAAGGGCATTAAAACTGATATACATTGCAATATACTTGAATATATTACCCCTTAATTATTAAGGGGTTATGATAAGTAATGTTTAATTTTTGAAGTGCTACATAAGTTGACTTCTCATTAGGGGGTTATGGTTCATGCACACAGAAACTAATTTTATTTAACATATTCTTCCATTAAGTCTTCTATAACTTTTCAAGCAGGTTTAGTTTGTCTGGTTTGTTATATGATGGTAGCAAAAGCACAGTAGTCAGTATTCATAATATGGTAATCATTTATGCAACCTCTTTGGTACAATGGATTGATATTATTTGAACAGAGATTAAGCACCTCCCATGACCTGCCTATTTAGTACCATCATAGCAAGCTTATGTAAGACTCACATCATATTTAACTCCCATTTACTTAACTCAAATTGGAATTTCATACCTCAAAGATATCCTTGCATGTATGGATAGATGTGTTTTGTTATGTCATAACAAGAACAACAAAGGAAAGGTGTGTTTAATCAGTTGGAATTTCTTATTTATTATTATTTAGGTTTGTTTATCAGTGTAGTGTATGTGTATTATGTAGCAAGGGTTAAACATTATGTAGTGCCATTTTCAGTAAATAAGATCTGTGCGTGTTCATGGATAGTCACCAATTTGGGTTCCCACTGACATAATACTTTACAAATAACTTCAAAATATGTCAACAATATTTCAAGCACAGACTACATATTTGTGACATTAATTAAGTCAGCAGCATTTGATGAAAGATAGACAGATATCAGTATTTCTGCATGCAAGTGATCAGCAGATAATGACGATATTTAGTTTATGATCTCAATTACTGAACCAGATGAGTTTGACCTCTTCGATTCTTTTGACATATAGTATTTGACATAAGTGTAAATGTATTACTGCACGTCTTGTATTGAAACCTTAAAACCAATTCAACAGGAGGAAATTAGTCATTCACTAATTTCAGTTAATTCGTACATGCTAGTATATTCATCATGTATAATACATACATACCACAGACTAGAGGCTACAGACAGACAGACTGTCATTGAGTTTGATATGACTCAGTTTGTTATGGAATGACCTTTGGTTCCAGGTGAACAGAAATTATATGTAGACCACTTAAGGCTGAAGCTGCCCAGTAAATCCCCTATTTCAAAGGTTGTGCTAAGTAGCAACAGTTCGAGTAGAAAGACCTCATCTGTGTTAGAATAATAGTTAAGATTTCTATGTTGAATGGCACACGTGGGCATATGGCGCAACGTGAAAAGTAGGTTTGTGGTTGTGAATTAGACGGCTAAAACACGTAAATATGTGCTAGAAAACTTTGACCCCCGTGAATCACCAAATTGTCAGATCTAAAGCTTGAAGCCTATTTCTGGGTTCATACAAATAGGACATTGTAAGGTTCCTAACAGGGTTGGGGAAGTTGCCGTCGTCAATGCTGCAGTGTATGTAAAATAACCAAATCTCCAAAGACAATCACGTTTCCTATGCAAAACCTATCATTTCGGTTCGGCTGTGTACGTTGCAAGTTGTTTGTCGTAAGCAAATAAGTTTGTCCTGTGTAATATTTTTATTTACAATTTCTTCTGTATTTTTCTATTTGACATGGTATCCTTTTATATCTATTTATAGTTTGATCACGTGCGCATCAACTATTTTGCATGGACAGTTGTCTCGAGTTAAATGATCAGCTTGTAGCAGTACGTCTAAAACATTGCTTCATCGTCTTCAGCGGCTGCTGTGACGTCATCACATCCGGGTAACATTTGGTTATCACCATTTATTTTCTGCAGTGGAGTTTTGACCCCGAGTGGTGTTCCAACGTAGTTTTTAAAAGTTTCCGTGCTGTGGCAGACCCTTGAAGCGAAGCTATGACTTAAAAAATATACTGGTTACATGCATTGCGAACGTGGAGCGGGTCCGAGTTGAATATATTGAAGTCGACAGGCGGCTGATGCATTAGAAACAAGGCTGTCATGAAGTCCTGATAACTCGAATCTCCGAATTTTCAACCGTTGTATTTATCCTGTGACAGTAGCTGGTAAATGTATGTGCAAAGACCGGTTACAACAAACTGTTGGTTTTGAAGATAATATACAATCATTCCATTTCATAGCCAATAAAATTGTTACTGATTATTGTCGTGTTTTTTTTACTTTGAGTTTATTTTGCGATCGTGGAAAGAAGATTTACATGTTATCAGGGAGGGGAATGTTGAGTTTTACGTCACTACTCTCTCTCTCTCTCTCTCTGATAAAGATACCGCGGCCGAGGTAATCCACATCATACTTAGTGAGGGACAAAAGTCCCAGATATCCACGACTCTGGTAAGACCTTTGGCCATGGTTCGATGCTTTGACAGACACAGAGTCATTGTCAAGAGGAATCGCGGATTCCAGCTCATGGCACAACTTCAGAACATGTCCATATTTCTTATACGCCGGACTGTAATATTCTGCAATTGGAATACGATGACATGCACCAACAAAGTCACCGAGCCTAAACACCCGATGCCGTTGGTCTTCTCAAACGACAAGCCTTGGTTAAAGAACACCAATTTTAACCCGGATCTTTACGGGTCTATGTCCATATAATAACCTTTACTGATAATGTGTTGATAATCACAACTGCAAAATTCAACATTGCCAATAGGTCGATCTGCTCCGCAAACTACAAAGCCAATACCACATTCAGTTCGCAACCTACTTGTGTAATTATTCAAATATATGGATCTATGAATTATTTAACCTTTCCCCATAGAGCGTTTTCTGATATAACACACTTGTCTGTCTACAGGGAAATAAGTGACAACTGCAATGATTCTAAATTGTTTTATTTATAAAAGGCTTCACTCCGCCCATCCAGAACTGCAGGATCCTGAGGGATCCAATCAAGAAACTGTGCCATACAACATCACTGGCAGATAATTGCCACCCACATCACTTTTGCCCCATTGAGATGCCTCAATTCACTACAGTCATTATCATTACACCCATGGGACTACTTTGCAAAATATACATAAGGGCAATAAAAATAAAAGTTGTAAGTAAAAGCAAAACTAGGCTATTATGACAAAACACCTGCTATTGAAACAGCAATCTAAATTAAAATAACATTCATAACATACAACTATGAAAATATACACTGTAAGAAAATATATTCCATCGCCTGAATACAAAATGTATTAGTACCTCTGTAAGCTGGACCATATGACTTATTTATATTGATACAGCACGTTATCGATGATGGTTAGTAGGGTAATGTTACACATTGTCCGCTGGAACACGTGTATTGGGAGCGCAAAGCTCATCAATATACTACATTTGCTGAGGACTACGCCTTTGACTAAAGATAACTATATCGGTCTTTAGCAAATGTTGGTGGTGAATTACACTGACGCAGGATAAGCTGGAAGCGGCGACATCAACGAACACATTAACCCTGCGCTGTTTATGCAGTCAGAAGGGTCACTGTCCGCTTTTCCCAGCGCCCCGTTGGTAGCACTGCCGGAATACACAGTGTCCACACTGTACTTCTTTTTACACTTCCGGCGCGGAGATGAACGCTGTAGCATTGCTTGGCGCCCTCTGGTGATAGGCATATTGTTAGACACTGTGTAATGTTCTAACGGTCCTTTTGCAATGCCACAATCTTTTATTGCAGCACAGACAAGACACCACTGCTTCAGATGCATCTTTGTAAACACCCTTACTCTGGCACATTCTACTGACACGTATACTCTTGTCAGTAGGTGTCCTTGTTCTGCCGTTGTTTTCATCATGGGTCGTTTGACCGAGGTGTGTAAATTCCAACTGATGAAGGTGTGTGTATCCCAATGATGAAGGTGTCTATATCCCAATGATGAAGGTGACTAATTCCAACTGATTAAGAACACAGCGGAGACCACAAGACATGCAATGGATGGTAACACGTGACTGCCAGAGGCCATAATGATACTCGTCGTGGGGTCGTACCTCACCTGGCCCTCTGAAAAAAAAAATGCAATGTTGTTTTACTCCGCACTCCCGTAATACTACTATATTTGTTTCAGCCTAAACCAGAAAAGCTTGTGATTGATATCTGAAATATCCGCTGGTGATACGATAACGCGCGGTCAACCAATGTACTAAGCCTGACCACTAGAACTGAGTTCCCCCTTGCGTCTGGCATAGATAGCCTCCTCTTGTCGGGAACATTATGAACCCAGTGACATATAAAGGGAATGTATGCTCCAAGTAAAACCTGCAGTCCTTTTAATCGGTTACTACAAACAGTGCTTCAGTTGTTTCCTCACTAAGGACGGTCGGGAATAGAAAGGGTCTTCAGAAGCCCATGGTTGGTTGCTTAACGCCGCACTCAGTAACATATAGCCGCGGTCTGTAAATAATCGAGTCTGGACCAGACAATCCAGTGATCAACAGCATGAGCGAATGGGGATACGATTGGATACGATGACATGTGTCAACCACGTCAGTGAACCCCGATCCCGTTCGTTAGTCGCCTCTTATGACAAACACAGGTTGATCTTCACGGGTTTCAGAAGCACATGCAGAGGCGATCCAGGATTTAGAAAGGGTGCATAAATGATGAAGTCCAAAGGTTGGGGGAAATGTTCCTCGGGGAATTCTTTTCGGGCAAGAAGGGTGGGTGCGTGGGGTGGGTGGGGGGATGTGTAACGCAAGAGCATAACAAGTCACGATTATTCGCTTAAACAATGGGCGCAAGAGTAAACATTGGTGAAACTGAATGGCTCACTGAACATCAGGACACCAGGTGTTCGACAAAGAAGGCTACATGCCCTGCCTTACTGTAGATCTGTTAGGTGAGTTAAGATCAAGAGAATGCTGAACAGCGGTAAGAATGAAATCATTTTATGATCTTACCTAAGGTGAAGAAAACTGGTGGACTCTTCTTGCCATCTCCTCCCCAGTTGTATGCTAAGACCCGCAGTCGGTAGATTATGCCCTTCTTGATACCTCTGTCAAAATGAGAAACGTCATTAAGGGGCAAAAACAAACCAGTCTTTCGGATTGAAGGTTGTTGTTTTTGCTAAAAACAGACAAAGAGTGCAGACTTAACAAAACCATCTCGCATGATAAGAGCCCCTATAACTCTGATATGAAAACATGAGTGATTTTAGGGGGTGCGATATTATGGATGTGAAAAGCAAACGATGTAAGTGATAATCTGTCAAACCGATAGCCAAATAATTTCGTGAATACAATTTCAACTATTCTTAGCAACAGTGTTGTCCTTAGATTAAAACAATGCCCATAACAAAAAATATTTAAAAAAGAAATAAAGCAAAAACCAAAAATCTCTTTCTGTCTTGACCACGTTCGATGGAAACGTGCAACATCTCTCTTTCATCCCCCTTAGTTATCTTCCCTGGATCAGCTACCTAATGATACCGTGGGTCTCCTTCCCGAGCGTTGTAGCGTCCTTGGCCGTAAGGATGTTCTCCGAAGACTCCCAATATCGCATCTGAGAACAGAATAGCCATCAATACTCCAGTCAATGTTTACAGCTTGTCATATACCGATATGCATCTGTCGAGTCGGGCGAGGCAATGTGCAATTATGGGCAAATTACAAATGTTTGATTGGAAGGCCTGCAACCATGCCATTGATCTTTATGCTTGCAATAATTGCATCTATCAGGCCTGCAATAACAGCCTCTATCAGCCCCTCTCCTTTAATTCCAGTAATAGATACGATCACTGGCCAGTCTCTGATGATGACAGCAGTTCATTTACGAAGCGTGGTCAAACAAGCGTTCGCAACAGTAACCGCATGCAGCGTGCGCTGTTAACGTCACCGTCGTCAGCTTCGTTTTCTTATGACATACTAATTTACATAAACATTACTGCCATAACATTCTTCCCACCATTTTGGATGATAAAACGACTGGAATTTGCTTTTGAAGAGTTTGTGTCCCTCAGTGTGAATGAAACCTGGGAATGTGGCTTCGAATACTGACTCATCTTCATTACGTTTCCAGGGCCGCGTTCCTCAAATCGATCATAACCCTAATGCGTCCGTAACTCCCATACTTTAACATAGACTTACGACAGTCGTAGCGCTACGGTCGCTTTGAGGAACGAAGCCCAGGTCGTCAGCAGTACACGTGGCTTTCGCCACAGAGGTAAATGTCTGAGACTCATATCGCTTCAGGCGTTTCTCACAAATCAAGCTGCCTCTGTAACGGCTTGATTTTCAAAACTCACTCACTCAAATTCATAGGTGACTGACTGAGTTACCTTTGGGTCTTTACGCCGATAAAACAGTATTTCGGTCAGTTTACTGAGGGAACAGCATGTCTCCCAGTTTGGATCATAAGCTAAGATTACGACGCATATTCCTGGCCGTTTTTGGCACGTTTAAGTGACACAAATACACATTCCTCAGCCATCACATGGCGATTGCTTGTTACTATACTCTGTGGTGACTCTGGGTCAGGTCATTAATTAAATAGGGGTGGACAGCATGGCTCAGCTAATTAGTGTATTCACTGAGTCTGTCTTGTGGGAGGTCTGTCTTTTGGGAGTGAACCTGTCTAATGATGTTGATCACGTGAGACAGACACTGGTAGATTGACCAGGTTAGTATATCATCAGCACTGATGCAAGGTATCGTATCCGTTTTGAGTACCAACGAGAGTCCGCGCGTCCGGTAATTCTGCGCAGCAATAGCGTACTTCATTATTGAAGGCAAACATCGTCTGCTACCACATTTACGCTTGAAATCGGGACATTTCTACAAGGGACTGGCTTTTAATCACTAAAGGTAAGTATATAACAGTAATTGACAGATAAATTGACAGTTATATGAAAATTCTTTTTCTTCAGACTTTTAAACCTTTTCTTCATTATTCATAATTGGATTTAATATGAAACACTCTTCCTTACATTGATAAAGTGATTTTTGAAAATTATCTGGCTCTAATACGCTTCCATACTTCGGATCTCCAGCTGGATGTTATGCGCATCAGTTGCTGCGCAGAATTACCGGATAGCAAGCGATGTCGTCAGAACGGCGGGAGGGTCAACCGTATGGCATAATGCAACGTTAGAATCTTATAGTCGTCAATAAAACCTATATTTCTAGGTAAATAGGTTCATGTTTAGTCACGTAAACCACAAAAATAAGAGATGTTAGTTGCCGTGTTGCGATCGATGTGCTTAGGTGCGCGGAACTACCGGATGGCATTGTATATCGATCCTTGTGACGTCAATCACTGGATTGTCTGGTTTGCAAACCACCGACATAAAGCTGGAATATCATCACTATCATTTTTATTATTATTTTTATTATCTTTTCTTACCTTATATCCTAGCAGAGTCTCCTCGGCGAGTCCTGTGCTGACGCCCTGCCAGGCGACGTACACGCTGTCGAAGGTGTGGGAGCGGATCTCAACGTATCTCGGGTATAGAAACGGCGCTGTCAGAAAACAAACACGACAATGTGGAACATCCAGCAGAACACTTAGAAGAAAAGGGTAACGACAGTTACATCTATGTCACCACAGGTAAGTATCAATGTACATGTGGTACACCTACCTGAAGTGAAGGTACTAATGATGTACTCTTACCTGAAGTGAAGGTACTAATGAAGTACACCTACCTGAAGTGAAGGTACTAATGAAGTACTCCTACCTGAAGTAAAGGTACTAATGATCTACACCTACCTGAAGAGAAGGTACTAATGAAGTACTCCTACCTGAAGAGAAGGTACTAATGAAGTACACCTACCTGAAGTGAAGGTACTGATGCGGTACTCTTACCTGAAGTGAAGGTACTGATGAGGTACTCCAACCTGAAGTGAAGTTACTGATGAGGTACTCTTACCTGAAGTGAAGGTACTGATGCCGTACTCTTACCTGAAGTAAGGGAATTAATGAGGTACTCTTACCTGAAGTGATATAGCAATATATAGCAGTCAAACAGGTAGATTTCTCTTCAGATAGATTGCTAGACTTTTAATAACATTCACATTTTTGGTGCATAACAACTGCTTAAACTTAAAGACAGATGGATGTATATGATAATATTCAGGTATAAACTGCATCCGACTTGTATGGTAATAAGGACATACTAATAAAAAGTGGTATTCGTCTTCTACGACATCTAAATGACACTTGATACATATTACTATAGTATTATCGACATTGTCTTTATTGAAACGCAACTGTTGGACACCCAATTTGTGCGATAAGCAACGAAATTTACATAAAATACGCCTCAAGTCTCTATTAGTGTACAACGCAGTTATATATACTTCTGTTTCCAAAACTGACTTGTACGATGAATAAACTTTAAGAAAAGAACTACTACCAATATCACTGCTCCAAGTTTGGAAACAGATATCCTTGCAGCGTTGCTTACACGTTATCATAAATACATCTCCGTCGCCAAAGTCTTGTGTAATCCACACAAAAGAAAATCCAAATTTAAACAACAGTGAAGGAACATGAGAAACCCAGTTAACATTTCCATTTTCGTCAGAGACATTAAGCATTTCATAACAAGCTCGAGGATACCAATGGCTACTCATTCTCACGAGTCTACACCAGTACCTGATACAACGACTAAAATAATTAACAGCCATTTGATATCTGCCCAACTCCCCTAACACAGCTTTTGTAGCCACAAATTTTCCTAAACCTAGATACTTCTTGAAGAACGAGCCCTGTAGCTTTTCAATATCTGCTCTATATGTATATCCCCACATTTCAGCGCCATAAAGCAAACTAGGTGCTATTTTCGTGTCAAATATGTTCTTAGCCATTTCATGAGGTGCGTCATACTTTATCAACATTTGTTTGACAGGAAAGCTCGCTTTCATTGCTGTTAACGACAGAGTTTCACAAGCTTTAGACCATACTAGCCTTGAGGAAAATATGACACCCAAATACTTATAATAGCTAACAACTTTCATTTCCTGACCATCATAAACTATTTCTCTGTACTTCTAAGATAGCCACCATTTCTAAAAACAATAATTTGAGACTTATCTAAATTCACCTCCAGACCCCAGTTCAAACAATATTTATGTAGGAAATCTAATTTTCACTGAAGCCCTACGACATAATCATCTACCAAGGTGACATCATCGGCAAACAGCAGCAGTAAAATGTCGTCCAGTTCCGATTTGACAAATATACCCCTTATACCACTATTTTGCATTTCCTCTACTTACTCATTTATAAAAGATATAAACAATACCGGACTCAACATACAACCTTGTCTGACGCCATGTGAAGTTGTGAATATATCCGACCTATTACTGCCAACTCGGACGAAGTGAAGGTACTAATGAGTATTAATGAGCTACTCCTACCTGAAGTGAAGGTACTGATGAGGTACTCTTACCTGAAGTGAAGGTACTAATGAGGTACACTTACCTGAAGTAAAGGTACTAATGAGGTACTCTTGCCTAAAGTGAAGGTACTAATTAGTATTAATGAGCTACTCCTACCTGAAGTGAAGGTACTCATGAGGTACTCTTACCTGAAGTGAAGGTACTAATGAGGTAATCTTACCTGAAGTGAGGGTACTAATGGGGTACTCTTACCTGAAGTGAAGGTACTAATGAGGTACTCTTACCTGAAGTTAAGGTACTAATAAAACACTCTTACCCTGAAGTGAAGGTACTGATTAGGTACTCTCTACCTGAAGTGAAGGTACTGATGAGGCATTATTACCTGAAGTGAAGGTACTAATGAGGTACTCTTACCTGAAGTGAAGGTGCTAATGAGGTACTCTTACCTGAATTAAGGGTACGAATGGGGTACTCTTACCTGAATTAAGGTACTAATGAGGCACTCCTACCTGAAGTGAAGGTACTGATGAGGTACTCTTACCTGAAGTGAAGGTACTAATGAGGAACACTTACCTGAAGTGAAGGTACTAATGAGGTACTCTTACCTGAAGTAAAGGTACTAATGAGTATTAATGAGCTACTCCTACCTGAAGTGAAGGTACTAATGAGGTACTCTTACCTGAAGGGAAAGTACTAGTAAAGAACTCTTACCTGAAGTGAAGGTACTGATGAGGAACACTTACCTGAAGTGAAGGTACTAATGAGCTACTCCTACCTGAAGTGAAGGTACTGATGAGGTAATCTTACCTGAAGTGAGGGTACTAATAGGGGTACTCTAACCTGAAGTGAAGGTACTAATGAGGTACTCTTGCCTGAAGTGAAGGTACTGATGAGGTAATCTTACCTGAAGTGAGGGTACTAATGGGGTACTCTAACCTGAAGTGAAGGTACTAATGAGGTACTCTTACCTGAAGTGAAGGTACTAATAAAGTACTCTTACCTGAAGTGAAGGTACTAATGAGGTACTCCTACCTGAAGTGAAGGTACTGATGAGGTAATCTTACCCGAAGTGAGGGTACTAAAGAGGTACTCTTACCTGAAGTAAAGGTACTAATGAGGTACTCTTGCCTAAAGTGAAGGTACTAATTAGTATTAATGAGCTACTCCTACCTGAAGTGAAGGTACTAATAAAGTACTCTTACCTGAAGTGAAGGTACTGGTGCGGTACTCTTACCTGAAGTGAAGGTACTTATGAGGTACTCTTACCTGAAGTGAAGGTACTAATAAAGTACTCTTACCTGAAGTGAAGGTACTGATGAGGTACTCTTACCTGAAGTAAAGGTACTAATGAGGTACTCTTGCCTAAAGTGAAGGTACTAATTAGTATTAATGAGCTACTCCTACCTGAAGTGAAGGTACTCATGAGGTACTCTTACCTGAAGTGAAGGTACTAATGAGGTAATCTTACCTGAAGTGAGGGTACTAATGGGGTACTCTTACCTGAAGTGAAGGTACTAATGAGGTACTCTTACCTGAAGTGAAGGTACTAATAAAAGTACTCTTACCTGGAAGTGAAGGTACTGATTAGGTACTCTACCTGAAGTGAAGGTACTAATGAGCCACTCCTACCTGAAGTGAAGGTACTGATGAGGTATTCTTACCTGAAGTGAAGGTACTAATGAGGTACACTTACCTGAAGTGAAGGTACTAAATGAGGTACTCTTTCCTGAAGTGAAGGTCCTAGAGAGTATTAATGAGCTACTCTTACCTGAAGTGAAGGTACTGATAACGTACTCTTACCTGAAGTGAAGGTACTGAGGTACTTTTACCTGAATTAAGGGTACTAATGGGGTAATCCTACCTGAAGTGAAGATATTAATGAGCTACTCCTACCTACCTGAGTTAAGGTACCAATGAGGTACTCTAACCTGAAGTGAAGGTACTAATGGCATTAATGAGCCACTCTTACCAGAAGTGAAGGTACTAATGAGGTACTCTTACCTGAAGTGAAGGTACTAATGAAAGTAATCTTACCTGAAGTGAAGGTACTAATGAGGTACTCTACTACCTGAAGTGAAGGTACTGATGAGGTAATCTTACCTTGAAGTAAAGGTACTAATGAGGTACTCTTGCCTGAAGTGAAGGTACTAATTGTCTTTATTGAAACGTGCAACTGTTGGCCACACAATTTTAGATAAGCAACTAAAATACGCCTCAAGTCTCTATTAGTGTACAACGCAGTGCTATATATACTTCTGTTTCCAAAACTGACTTGTACGATGAATAAACTCTAAGAGAAAGAACTACTACCAATAGTGTAATCCCACACAAAGAAAATCCAAATTTAAACAACAGTGAAGGAACATGAGAAACCCAGTTAACATTTCCATTTTTCGTCAGAGACATTAAGCATTTCATAACAAGCTCGAGGGATACCAATGGCTACTCATTGTCACGAGTCTACACCAGTACCTGATACAACGACTAAAATAATTAACAGCCATTTGATATCTGCCCAGCTCCCCTAACACAGCTTTGTAGCCACAAATTTTCCTAAACCTAGATACTTCTTGAAGAACGTGCCCTGTAGCTTTCAGCTTAATATCTGCTCTATATGTATATCCCCACATTTCAGCGCCATAAAGCAAACTAGGTGCTATTTCCGTGTCAAATATGTTCTTAGCCATTTCATGAGGTGCGTCATACTTTATCAAAATTTGTTTGACAGGAAAGCTCGCTTTCATTGCTGTTAACGACAGAGTTTCACAAGCTTTAGACCATACTAGCCTTGCGGAAAATATGACACCCAAATACTTATAATAGCTAACAACTTCCATTTCCTGACCATCATAAACCATTTCTCTGTACTTCTAAGATAGCCACCATTTCTAAAAACAATAATTTGAGACTTATCTAAATTCACCTCCAGACCCCAGTTCAAACAATATTTATGTAGGAAATTTTCACTGAAGCCCTACGACAGAATCATCTACCAAGGTGACATCATCGGCAAACAGCAGCAGTAAAATGTCGTCCAGTTCCGATTTGACAAATATACCCCTTATACCACTATTTTGCATTTCCTCTACTTAATAATTTATAAAAGATATAAACAATACCGGACTCAACATACAACCTTGTCTGACGCCATGTGAAGTTGTGAATATATCCGACCTATTACTGCCAACTCGGACGAAGTGAAGGTACTAATGAGTATTAATGAGCTACTCCTACCTGAAGTGAAGGTACTGATGAGGTACTCTTACCTGAAGTGAAGGTACTAATGAGGTACACTTACCTGAAGTAAAGGTACTAATGAGGTACTCTTGCCTAAAGTGAAGGTACTAATTAGTATTAATGAGCTACTCCTACCTGAAGTGAAGGTACTCATGAGGTACTCTTACCTGAAGTGAAGGTACTAATGAGGTAATCTTACCTGAAGTGAGGGTACTAATGGGGTACTCTTACCTGAAGTGAAGGTACTAATGTGGTACTCTTACCTGAAGTGAAGGTACTAATAAAGTACTCTTACCTGAAGTGAAGGTACTGATTAGGTACTCCTACCTAGAAGTGAAGGTACTAATGAGCTACTCCTACCTGAAGTGAAGGTACTGATGAGGTATTATTACCTGAAGTGAAGGTACTAATGAGGTACTCTTACCTGAAGTGAAGGTGCTAATGAGGTACTCTTACCTGAATTAAGGGTACGAATGGGTTACTCTTACCTGAATTAAGGTACTAATGAGGCACTCCTACCTGAAGTGAAGGTACTGATGAGGTACTCTTACCTGAAGTGAAGGTACTAATGAGGAACACTTACCTGAAGTGAAGGTACTAATGAGGTACTCTTACCTGAAGTGAAGGTACTAATGAGTATTAATGAGCTACTCCTACCTGAAGTGAAGGTGCTAATGAGGTACTCTTACCTAAGTACTAATAAAAGAACTCTTACCTGAAGTGAAGGTACTGATGAGGTAACACTTACCTGAAGTGAAGGTACTAATGAGGTACTCTTACCTGAAGTGAAGGTACTAATGAGGGTAATCTTACCTACATGAAATGAAGGTACTAATGAGCTACTCTACCTAGAAGTGAAGGTACTGATGAGGTGAGTGGGGTACTAATGGGGTACTCTTACCTGAAGTTAAGGTACTAATGTGGGGTACTCTTTCCTGAAGTGAAGGTACTAATAAAGTACTCTTACCTGGAAGTGAAGGTACTAAAAGGTACTCTTACCTGGAAGTGAAGGTACTAATGAGGTACTCCTACCTGAAGTGAAGGTACTGATGAGGTAATCTTACCCGAAGTGAGGGTACTAAAGAGGTACTCTTACCTGAAGTAAAGGTACTAATGAGGTACTCTTGCCTCTAAAGTGGAGGTAATTAGTATTAATGAGCTACTCCTACCTGAAGTGAAGGTGCTCATGAGGGTTACTCTTACCTGGAAGTGAAGGTACTAATGAGGTAATCTTACCTGAAGTGAGGGGTACTAATGGGGTACTCTTACCTGGAAGTGAAGGTACTAATGAGGTACTCTTACCTGAAGTGAAGGTACTAATAAAGTACTCTTACCTGAAGTGAAGGTACTGGTGCGGTAATCTTACCTGAAGTGAAGGTACTAATGAGGTACTCCTACCTGAAGTGAAGGTACTGATGAGGTAATCTTACCTGATGAGGAGGTACTCAATTTGGAGGCACTCTTACCTGAAGTAAAGGTACTAATGAGGTACTCTTGCCTAAAGTGAAGGTACTAATTAGTATTAATGAGCTACTCCTACCTGAAGTGAAGGTACTCATGAGGTACTCTTACCTGAAGTGAAGGTACTAATGAGGTAATCTTACCTGAAGTGAGGGTACTAATGGGGTACTCTTACCTGAAGTGAAGGTACTAATGAGGTACTCTTACCTGAAGTGAAGGTACTAATAAAGTACTCTTACCTGAAGTGAAGGTACTGGTGCGGTACTCTTACCTGAAGTGAAGGTACTTATGAGGTACTCTTACCTGAAGTTGAAGGTACTAATAAAGTACTTTTACCTGAAGTGAAGGTACTGATGAGGAACTTCTACCTGAAGTGAAGGTACTGATGAGGTACTATTACCTGAAGTGAATGTACTAATGAGGTACTATTACCTGAAGTGAATGTACTAATGAGGTACTCTTACCTAAAGTGAAGGTACTAATGAGGTCCTCTTATCTTAAGTGAAGGTACTAATGAGTATTAATGAGCTACTCCTACCTAAAGTGAAGGTACTGATGAGGTACTCTTACCTGAAGTGAAGGTACTAATGAGGTACACTTACCTGAAGTGAAGGTACTAATGAGGTACTCTTTCCTGAAGTGAAGGTACTACTGAGTATTAATGAGCTACTCCTACCTGAAGTGAAGGTACTGATAACGTACTCTTACCTGAAGTGAAGGTACTGAGGTACTCTTACCTGAATTAAGGGTACTAATGGGGTACTCCTACCTGAAGTGAAGATATTAATGAGCTACTCCTACCTGAAGTTAAGGTACTAATGAGGTACTCTTACCTGAAGTGAAGGTACTAATGGGTATTAATGAGCTACTCCTACCAGAAGTGAAGGTACTGATGCGGTACTCTTACCTGAAGTGAAGGTACTAATGAGTTACTCTTACCTGAAGTGAAGGTACTGATGCGGTACTCCTCTCCTCGAGGTCCAAGTCCAGCGGTATTGAATACCTGGACGTTGAACCAGTAGTCCCCGTCTGGCTGCAGACCGATGACTAACCCTCCGTCAAGCTGGCCGTAGTGGGAGATGGAGTGGAGAATTGGGTCCTCCTCGCCCTCCATGTAGTAGTTGATCTGTAGACGTGAATGTTTTCACTGACGTCAGTGACTTTGCAGTTTCGGACATACATGTTTCGTAACCGTCAATGCCTATCAGTCAATTGATCGACCGTGTGCATACGTTTAGGTGATTAGAACGCTTGATTGATAGTCGTAATAGCGGAAGTCGCCTTTCATATTGCTCGTCGTCGTCTAAGTACGTCGTTGACATTTTTCTTGCAGTAGTTGTCGTAGGAGCGAAGGAATTTTGACCAACTACAATTGGAACCATATTTCAGTTACGCCATGTCAGCCTGTTGTGAGAGATAAGCTCGAATTGACGCACTGACGGATACGATAAAACAGGATAATGTCGAATCTGGGATTCGAACCCATGACCGTGCGTTTCTGACAAGCGTAAGGGACGCAACTTTACACAGCGAATTGCGAGGACTTAGCCTGGCCTACCCGTGTCCCCTGACGTTGTATTAGTAGTAATAATGGTTGTAGTTGCAGTAGAAGTTGCAGTAGAAGCTGCTGCAGCAGAAGTGGATGAGCGAGTATGGTTTTACGCCACTTTTAGCAATGTTCCAGCAATATCACGGCGGGGGACACCAGAAATGGGCTTCACACATTTTACGGATGTAGGAATCGAACCCGGGCCTTAGGTGTGACGAGTGAACGTTTTAACCACTAGGCTACCTCACCGCCCCTGCAGCATTAGTAGTCGTAGTAGTAGTATGAGGGGGAGAAAGAGCAGTCGGATGAGAGGACCACACGGATGAGAGGGATTTACGAGTATTCCCAGCATCTGACGTTGATAGCTGTTGAAATACAATATGGCACATTCGTCGAAAGAGATGAATGTTTTATCTTGTAAACTTTATTCGAACGTTATCCGATCTTCCCATTTGACCATACCTGGTATCCCTGCACCCTTCCCTTCATTGCAAGCCGCGTGTCGGGCACAGGGTCCCATGTCACCATGATGGCTGTTCCGTTGTAGGAGTCGCCGTTGAGATTGGAAGGTGTCGCTGTAGGCACTGGAAAAACACGTTTATTATAAATGACGCTCACATAAGAGTGAGTTTAGGTTTACGCCGCATTTAGCAATATTTCAGCAATATCACAACAGAACTGGGCTTCACACATTGTACCCATGTGGGGAATCGAACCCGTATCTTCGGCGTGACGAGCGAACGCTTTAACCACTAGGCTACCCTGCCGACCACTCAAATCAGAGGATTTTATATCACGATGTTGCCTTAAACAGTGTTTCCTTCTGTGGCAATGTCTTTTATTGTCTGATACATTTCCGGGCCAAACAAAAAGTATAAAAGTTTGATTTGACTATAACATTACAAACGTTTTCTAAAATACCCTATTTTTATTAGATGAGAAAAATTAAATCGTCATCTTCCAGATCGTATAAATAATCAAATCAATAAATATTTATTAGTAATTATCCGTCTAAGGAATCCTTAAATATACGTAATTAATAGTTTATCATTGTATCGAACACGAATTATGACTTTTAATGATAAAGTCACTTGACGGATACCTTAAAGAACCTTGACAAGGCTGATATCCTCGACTCTTATGATGCCTCCATTTTGTTTTGGCATATTCCCTGGCTATAACTTTGTTTCGGAAGTAAATCAACGAGCTTCGTCTCGCTTATATCTGGCACCAAAGATCACATTCAAGTCAACAATCGATCAAAATGCCACCTCAAAACGAGCTCGACATTCGGACATTCGGTAACACGCCCTTCTCCGGTTGTTTGGTTGGTGGGTGTTTAATGCCACACTCAGCAATATTCCAGCAATATGGCGGCGTCTGTAAATAATCGAGTCTGGACCAGACAATACAGTGATCAACATCATGAGCATCGATCTACGCAATTAGGATACGATGACATGTGTCAATCAAGTCAGCGAGCCTGACCACCCGATCCCGTTATTCGCCACTTACGACAAGCATAGGTTGCTGAAGACCAGTTCTAACCCGGATCTTCACGGGTCCCTTCTCCGGACAAATGATGCTTGTAAAGCGCCAACGGAGATACCTCACGCTGTTATACCTAAATATTGATGAGGATATGCTGGATATTCATGGGTACGGGAAGAAGCTTACTGTCCTCTGCCGACAAGACGATGCTGATGGTGGAGTTGGGGCCCTGGCCGAGACTGTTGAAGGCGGCCACCATTACCTCATACTCCAAGTAGTAGTTTTCTGAACCGACTGTCGTCACCCACTCGCCCACCTGACCTTCTACCGTGCCCTGAAGCACGCACATACAGGAGATAACAAGGTGGAATATGCAATGCAAGACCGGACGGGGATGGAGAGTCTCAATCTGATGCTTTGACCAATTATTCAGGACGGTCAGTAGGTGAAAAAGTCGAATTTCAAATATGTTTGACTCCCTCAGCTTCTTTCAGCTGTGAGTATTTTAGGATACATTTGTAATAGTTTTTCTTACAGCATTTCATATAAGTTATTGATAAAAATAGTGATAATTAATGAGAATTGTCTTAGGCATTTTAGTTATTTCTGGTCAACACTTTTCTTCTTTCTTTTCAAAATTTAAGTCGTTTGGGCTGGAGGGTTAACATGTTTACTTAAGAATATTTTGCATCGACATAGCTGTTGAGTATTACGACAGAGAGTGGGTAGATCCAAAAACTTCCGATATTGCTCGTTTTTATGACGATACCATTTTGTCTGCTGACTTATGGAAAAAAATACAATATGACGTCTTCATTACGTTACAAAGTTACGTGATAATACCACTACTTTTTGTATTGTCCATTCATTCATTGTTTTCGTTATTCTTATTATTATTGTCATTATTCCTGTTGCTGGTACCACGTATTCTCTCCTGTGACAAGTATCATCAGACTGAAATACATCAATACCTTCTGCCAAAGTCCTGCGGTGTTCGTCTGTTTCCGGTAGTAAATCCTGTAACCAAGGTTTTCTCCATTGTGATCTTCCGAATGCAGGGGCTGGGGCGGAGATCAAAGGAGTAGAGTGAAGACAATTGTAATGTAAAAGCGAACATAAATCCTGAGAAGTAGTTCCCATGTCTTACATAAAGGAACATAAATGCAGACATGCTTTGACGCACCATTGTGTGAAACCACGAGCTTGAGACACTGACAAACCAACATAACATAATCGATGAGAACCTAGTTCGAATCCACCATAGTTGCATTCTGGCCTAAACAAGGGACGCAACTCTGCAACTCTGCCTGAGGCGACTCGGTCATATATCCTTCTATAAAGGGATACGTGGATCAGTAGTTACACAAAACATTTGGTTAAAAAATTCCAGTTTGTCTAGAGAACCATATATTTTGTGAGTAAACTCTGAAGACTGCTTAACATCTACACAGTGATTATTGAGATGACAACACTTTATGGATGATCAACTTCTTTATTTCCACAATAGCGACGTCTCGGTATTGCATTATGCTTGAAAACGGTAGAAGAAGCTATACCGAAACGTCGCTTTTGTGAAAATAAAGAAGTTGATCATCCATTTTTTGTCATCTCTATACCACCAACTCCTAGAATGCCACTCAAACGAATCATAGTGATTAGTGTACAGAGCCTAACTGTGATGGACCACTCTGATGAAGATGTTTCAGAGTAATCCCCTTCACGATCCACACATTTCGGCTTACAATGACAGTGTGCCTGGGTCCCAGTGATCTAAACGGCGTCTTGCTGGGGGAAGTAAAACGTCCGTAAAATTCAATTTACGAGCGAGGTACATGGATGTGCAGTCAGCGTGCCATGTATCAGCATCGCTGCTTCTCCCTACAGACTGTCTAGTCAGAGCAACCTCTGGAAGAGAGGGCCTGAAATACGCCCACAGCACGCACTGGCCGTAAAACCGATTAGTGTTTGGCTCTGTGACTTGGCTTATTGCATGGATCAGCTTGTCGACACTGAGTTGTTGGCTATTGACTATATCGTTTAAGAGCCACAGTGATATGGCCGTGGCATTGCTGACTCGGCCGCCTCTCATTGACAACTGATTCTTGTAAACACACGTACCATTTCTACCAATATACCCGCAAGACACGTGTGTGTGTGTGTGTGTGTGTGTGTGTGTGTGTGTTTAGGGGTTCGCACCTCCCTTCCCCCCTTTTGTCATGAAAGTTTATTAAATGACCAATAAGAGGGAAAAAATGGATTGTGCGCACGCACGCATGCACGCACACACCTTCTCAAAAAGCTGATTATAGGGCTGACTGGCAGTCAAAGAAGACTTAATTCAAATACCATTTTGACGACAAGTTAAGGAAGTAATGCCCTTTGTAGTACGACAATTATCTGTACAACATTGTTTTAAGCCTTTTAGGTGTGTGCATGCCCATCAAGGTTCTAACGTATGCTCGTGCATTAACATCATGTGTGAGATATCTTCCCTGAATTATTTACGACTGCATCCTAGGTCGAGGACATTCTTACTATATTGTCATAGTTTATGTTAACGTTTGCTGTCAATTGTTTAAAACTAGTTATAGCGGTATGCCAGTGATACAGCGAATGGGTGTTATCTCCCCTTCAGTCATCACGCACCCGCCATTACCGAAGTAAATTAGTGTTTGTCTCTAGCACCGCATTCCCGAAGTGTGTCAGTCACCTATAAGTTGAGAGTTCAGATGACAAGACTCTCCTCAGACTCACCTCCCACGTGACCTTTAGTGCCCCAACCGTGCCTCCTCCGCCTCCGACGTCTTTTGGGGCTATGATGGAGCTGCGTTTGGAATCTTGTACGTCGCTGTAAGGAACGAGTTTAGTGAGGAGTTTAGTGATGAACTATCCGATCTCTTCAATATTGGTAACTGAGGCGTCAACATTTATGTCTCACTCGCTATGACGCTTGTTTAAATATTCCGATCTCCCCCAACTTACGTGAATGCACACTAGGAGTCCCACTTCCATAAATATTGCTGGCCACGACCCGGAAGTTGTATGACGACCCGGGACTGAGGTTTGATAGTTGTGCATAGCGCCTGTCTGGAAATTTGGTGTCTACTGCTTCCACGTTGGGAATACCTGAAACATAACGTGAAATGAGGGCGAGTTGAACTGCACTGGAGCGACGAGGAAGCACGCATACGCGCGTGTGCGCATGTACTAGCCCTGATTAGAGCGAGTTTCCTGGTGCCTATCTAGATACCACACGACACTGACTCCAAGCATACCAGTCCTTGTTTTATGCTTTTACTACCGAACCCGTGAAGAACCGTGTTAGATCTTCAGTAACCTATCCTTGTCGTAAGAGGCGACTAACGGGATCGGGTGGTCAGGCTCGCCGTCTGGGCTGACACGTCACCGTATCCCAATTGCGTAGATTGATGTGCATGCTGTGTAGCTGGAACATTGCTGAGTGCGGTGTAAAACTAAACTCACTCACCTTTGCTACCGAACAGGCAAGGAAACAACAAGCACCGTATATTATCGCATATTATTGTGACGTGATGGGCGATCTTACTGGGTTTGGGCGAGCAGAAGGTCTTTATACAGTTCATCGTCACTTCAGGATGGTTTGGCATAAACAAACATTCGATATATCGGACTTCGGAGGGTAGTATTGTGTTCACGTACCATCTAGAATGACCCTCCATTCCGGCCGGTAATCTGTACGAAACTGGACAGTAAATGACGTCAAAGGCATTCCGTGGGTTGCACCGATCGTCCAGGTGAGGGATGCTGACCTACCGGTTACTTCTGCAAATACCCCCGCTGGTTCTCCCGGCGGCCCTGAAGGGTTGGCAGATTTGGAAAATATATAACAATTCCTTTTCCTGTCGATTTAGAGTGGCCACTAAGGCTCATAAAGTTTGAGTAAACAAACTTCACATATACAAATAAAGAACGTCAATTCAAAAGAGTTATGAATCCAAACTATCCTCAAAAACAATAACTGCTATGAAGGGAAAGATTGTCGTGAAAATTATATGAATGGATCGCTGAAAAACAGTGATGACACCAGGTGTTCTCGAAAAGCGTAAGCATGTCCTGCCCTACCGGTGGCACCCACCACCCGAGAATCTCAAGTTCATGATTGTTGACAGATTAAGGGCCATAATAGGTGTGTGTCTTGTATTCGAACCCACAAGTTAAGTAACCTGGCTCGGGGACCTGATGCTTGTAACCACACTATGTTTAATATTTCGGTGAAACCCATTCGAAAATATAGTTCAGACATACCAAAGATGATAATCGAAGCGAACGTGAGGAAATCGGATCCTGGTACCTGAGGGACACAATTCCTAACTGTAAGTTCTACTTTGATCATTGACCTACCCGTTTCCATTATATTTTAAGAAGGAATATACTGGTTATAGTTGATGATGTGATTCGTGTTGTACTCACCTAGAACAGTAATGTCCGCGGACATAGCTGCCTTGTCCTGTACAGTTTGCGCTGTACACGTGTACTCCCCGGCATGTTTGTACTCAGCGTTCTTGATATAGAGTCCAGGTACCATCTCACGCATGCCCTGACAAGTCAATCAAACCAGACAAAACAATCAGTTACAAAACAAATCATCACGAAGAACCACGTACAACATTTTGAACCAATCGATTCATTCTGAAATGCAAATGGATTTCATACCGGCGAAGTCAAAATAATGGAGTTGATGCAGGGCTCACGATTCCAGTGCAAAGATACTCTATTTAAGATTTAGTATTGACTTAGCGCTAAGATCGCTTTTGGGCATGTAGGCCCAGGTAACGTACCCTCACCACTGGCAAAAGAGTGACCCCTCTTCAAATTATGAAGGGAACGTTTTGTCTGACGGTCTTTGCATCGAGTGTATCGATATCTCTATTCTAATGAGAAATTCACCATCACAGCCTCGTCGTGATCTGATTCGTATGGAACGAAGAACTTATCGTCCAATCAAATTGCTGTCATGTGCGAGAGAGTATATGTGCGAGATTTGAGAAAGGATGATATCACTTCCAAGCCGTAGCTATGTTGGTGAAAGGGCCTGGAGTATCTATCATGATAACATAGAATGAAGAAATACGCTGGATAATGGAGGTACCGTCAGGTATGACCGCTGCCATATTCCTAAAATTCAATGGAAGTGTTTAGTGATGACACATGATGACACATTAGTTATGTTCAGTTACTCAGTAACTTTGTACAAGACATGTATTCAAGTAGTTATCCGAAGGATAGACTGATGATCATTAAATATATAACCTCAATACAACACAATAGCCAGTTTTCAGACAGATTCCATTTCGCATTAAGGCCACTAAAGCTGTGAAAGTTTTACGAAAGGATACCACTTGCTCTCGAAAAGAAACAGAATTTAAAAAAACGACACCTTAGCAAAATGGGGATCTTTGTCGGTGTCGATCATGACGTCGTTGAAGTACCAGATGTATACGAGGTCGTGTGAGCGACGGTCAAAGGACGCTTCGCAGAAAAGAAAAGCTGTGTTATTCTGAACGACCCGAGTGTCGCTTGGCTTGCTTGTCAAGGTCGTCCGGCCTGAAAAATGGTTACCAAAGGAAGTGTGTAACATTAGATATGCTTGCAATACTGAATGTAAGTTTATTTTACACTACATGTAACAGTTTTGCCAAATGATGGCTAATGCTTTTTGTGTTGTAGTCGTTTTGGCGACTTTCTAAATAGACTTTATTTAAGTGTATACATTTATGTCACGGAATATAACCTTGATTTCTAATTTATTTTCAATAACTCGACATGACCATATATGTACAAAGATACAATCGGAATCATAATGGCGGAGAGTGTGGTTCCTCTTCAAACCCAAATCATAAGTTCCCTTTGTAACATCCCACTACTGAGTGAGTGAGTGAGTTTAATTTTACGTCGCACTCAGCAATATTCCAGCCATATGGTGGTCTGTAAATAATCGAGTCTGGAACAGACAATCCAGTGATCAACAACAGGAGCATCGATCTGCGCAATTGGGATACGATGACATGTATCAGCCAAGTCAGCGAGCCTGACCACCCGATCCCGTTAGTCGCCTCTTACGACACGCATGGGTTACTGAAGGCCAGTATTCTAACCCTGACCTTCGCGGGTCTCACACTACTGATCCCAGTCACTGAAGTGTTGGGAAAATACATAAAACCATCTGCCCCATTCATTCAAGTCTTCAGCTTGTGTGCTATAGGGCCGTAAGTAGGTCACGGCCCTTCGCGAGACCTTTCGTTGTTTTGTACTTCCGGTGACAAACAACGTTTCATTCCATTTTTGAATGGTTTCATGTATGGTTGTCAGTTGACAGTAATGAACCGATAATTATTGCAGGAGAGACACATGTCCGATCTAACTATCACCAAATTAGACAACTGTCATGACTGTCAACAGCTGTGACAGCCAAGCTGGTTGTACACTTGGTCCGGTCTAGTAAAGTCATATTTGGCGGTCGCGCAATTTGGAACGAGAACTGGTTCTTGAATATACCTTTGTCACCGAAAATTTGGTACCGGAAGTAAGTTGAGCCACGTCTCGCATATCGCAAGTTGGCGAGCGCAAAGGGAGCCGGGAACCATATTAGTACCGGAAGTAGACCCTAGCGAGAGGTCCTATTACGTGTGTCTATAGCCTATTTAAACCATCTAAACACACACCTACGACTTCTAGTTTACCGCCACTAGAAGCAGTTCCGGCGCCGTTGGTAGCTGTGCATTCGTATCTTCCGGCATCTTGGCTTGTGACGTCATTAATCAACAAGTTACCATTCGCCAACAACTGGAAATGCCCCGTCACTCCGGTAGATAACCCTAAACTTCGGCCATCTTTCTTCCATGTTATTTCCGGCTTGGGCGCAGCTTCCGGTTGGCAGATGATCGTTGCATTTCCTCCTATGGTGGCGAGCTGGGATGGATCGACTGGGCGCTTGGCAAACGACGGCGCAAACTCTAAAAACGAAATATCCGACATAATAGAATCCGTCTTAAATAGATCTCGGTTGTCTGGTAGCGTCATAATGTATCAGAAATGCTCTACTGCGTATATGAAAAACCATGTGTCAGCAATTGAGGTTTGTTTTTCCAACAGTGTGTAAGACCGTATTTCAACTGAAGAGAGAGAGAGGGAAGCTTCCGGTATTTTCTAGAATGCTGTAACAATATTATCGTAATCGTGTAGAATTTGTACGTGACGATTGATCCGTCAAAGTTTCACAGTAACATGAACACTGCTGTATGGTCTCCCTGAAATGGAATGGACGTACCCAGCACTCGCAATTCAGCGCTACTGTAAGTAGAACCATGCAGGTTGTCCGCCGCACACTGGTACATTCCATTATGTTTGGAGGGTTGAGCAGACTTGATCACCAGCACGTTCTCAGAGACTTCCACGTCCCCTGGTACAGACTAAAGACAAAACGTGTCAGAGTTTAAAGGCGAACATAAAGGGAGTTATGATGTTTCAATCTCCGGTGTCACTGAGGTATATAGTGAGTGAGTATGGTTTTACGACGCTTTTAGTTATATTCAAGCTATAACACGGCGGGGGACACCAGAAATGGGTTTCACACATTGTACCCATGGGGGAAATCGATCCTGGGTCTTCGGCAACGAGCGAACGTTCTAACCACGAAGCTACCCTGCCACCCCTACTGATGTACGGAATGAGCAACAGCTGTGCAGTGTAGACTAACCGTATATGTTGTGTTACATTTACCTGGTCTCGGCAAAATATACTTACGTACAAAAGAACGTGTACACAATAAATAGAGAATCTCACCAGAGTGCCTTTTTATATCAAATATATCACCATGAGTTGATAAAACAGCAAACTCCAAGGCTTGCCGAGGAGCTCTCACTTTTATCAACTCGTGGTGATATATTTGATATCAAAAGACACGAGGGTGAGATTCTATTTATCATCCAGTATCATACTTAATTTGAAACGTCACCAGTAACAAGCTCATTTTGAAGACTTGCGCATTAATACATCCAAGTGAACAAGAGTGATTGAAGGGTACGAGTGAGACCATTATGTCATAAAAAACAAGCACATACAAAAGTAGTGCTATCTTTTATTGCTTTAAATTCTGCAATGCATACGTTTCACCATTTCTTGGTGGCATTTTAAGTAAACTTTTATGTCGTCAGAACAAATCATGAACAAAAATAACTTATCGCGGTGGACATCTTTCTTTACAGCTAATGGAGATGAAAGTAGTCCGAAAATTTTGACCAATCAACAATTAGCTCAAAACTTATGTCCTATGAGATATCGCTTGATCTTCTACAAGCAATATCTCCTCTGGAAACCAATATGGGTTGATAAACTGACGTACATGCCTATTGTTTTGGTATTGTTTTCCAAAAGAGCAAACCGAAACATGAGTCTCATTAACCAATTCAAACAATGACCTACTTTTCAGCCGATCCGAATTTTCTCGTGTATGAGTGAAAAGAGACACTACAAACAACTATGGTTACACTACATTTCAATTTCTTGTTTCATAAGAAAATGGTATTTACAAATAAGTTTTAATTTTAAACTTTAATAAAATCGTATTTCTATATTTTATGGCGAGGTTTAGGCAGCATGACCTTAACTAAGACGTCACAGACTGCCCCTGTTTGATGAGGTCGTAAAATGATTCACAATTCATCTGGCTCACTGGTTACACCTGTTATGTGTTCTTTGCGCTTGTACCGTACAATGTGATTGATATAATATCAAGTCCGTACCAGACCGCCAACTTTTCAAGCGGCCGAGCCTCGTTTTGAGATTTCCATGATTTCCGTTTGTCAGAGCACGCCGTATGACAGAGCACGCTACAGGACGTGTTTGCAAGGATTAGAAGGAGCATAGTGTTGCAATGTACAAGTGATTAGATGTATCAAATAATACTGATTAATATTTTTATATCCAGTTGAATGAGTCTGTCTAAATATTCTCGACTGGTTATTGTACTAAGTTGCGCAATAGGAGGGAACCCAGTCATCAGGAAACGATACTGTTGTGTAATCAATGTTTTGAATTGAAATATTTTGAAAAGTCTCTTGATTGCCACTTACAAGTCACAGACTTTGTGCCACCACAGACATCGTACTCAGTTGCGAAGTTGCTAAGGAGCGTTCTATGATCTAAGTTGTCGCATGTTAAAACAACAAAATGTTAGATTTCTGGAATGTTACGAGTCAAGTGACAGTTAGTGGTTTGTGGGCTGATGATATCTTACCTGTAGACGTTGACCGTTCTTATACCACGAATACCGAGCACGGGGCCGACCTACAACCTCACACCTCCATGTGAGTTGACTGCCAATATCCACGTGTTGGTCTTTCAATGGGAAGATGAAGTATGGCTTTGCTGTCGATGGATAATGTGAAAGTGTACGTATAGTGTAATATTATCTTATTTTCATATATATTACTATATTTCCTAAAACAGCTAATATTTTATTGTCTTCGGCTAGGGGCATGTTTGGAACCAGAGTCGAAAACATAATCTGCCTGTAACACAAATCACACATACCATACTATTATATTGAATTGTCATCACTGAAAAAAATATCTAAAATATATTTCATAAAGTAATGACTTCGACATAAGTATTTCATTCAAAGTACAACTTCTTAGACGTTGAAAAAGAACCTAAGGTAGATAACCAGGTTAAATTAAATTTAATTCAAGGTGTGTGTGCGGGTGTGGGGTGTGGGGCGTGTGTCTTACACATTGTACATGCCTCTCCATAACAAACACTATCATTCATCCCCTCAATCTATTTTACACCCTTCACCGTAACTATGTACAGCCAATTTTCGGTTATCCTGCCCTGTAATTTTCACCAGTAATTTGCAATTTAGGCTCATTGCCCGTGGCAATCATGCAGTGGTCCCTACCATGCATTATATTGCAGCTGAAAAGATTATTTCGCTGTTGAATAACAATCTGCATTGGTCCATTTACATTTTGTAAATTTATTACACGAACCTACAAAATATCATTTTGTAAACGCCAGATGTGTTTGACTGATTTTGAATTGTCATCTGTAGATTTGTTAAAGGTCACATGCAACGTAAAACACAACTTTGCAGATTCTGATACATTTCGGTATGGACTTACAGTAACAAATGATAATAAATGAAGTTGAACAATAACGCGAAGAAAAAACCCCGCGAAATCGGAGTTCAACTGATTCACTAAATTCGCCCCAGCTGGGGTGAAAAGTGGTTCCAACAGCTGTGATACGCTGCGCTTCACTGCGCTCATGGTGCATGCGCAGTGAATTGGTTCGCGCAGCTTAGAAGCGTGATGTCCGGATTATAAGGTCGTGAGCAGGAGTAGTCTAATCTAGGTTGTGTACACAAACAACAAATAGTGAACAATCTACTCGTTACATAAAAAAAGAACCTTGTTAAGGATCTAGATCTACTCAGCTATGTGTCAGCCAGTGAGGCATTCGACACTTCAAGACGGAAAACCTTCGCTGGCGGTGAGTACTCGGAGTAGGCTTTGATGTGAGCTATTTTTCTTATGTTTCTCCGATATTTCACAGTCGCAATCTTCTTATGTGTTATGAGAGGAGATTACCGATTTAACTGTTTATATAGTTTCATTTGACTATTTCACCACACGTTCTTCTTACCGAGTCACTGTCTCAGTTCATTTTTTAACATTGTTACAAATTCGAACTGTGATATACATGTACATATGCCTCTGTCACAGACAAAACTCAGTGTCTGTTTTATTGACACCTATGTGGCTGCCTGCCTGTCTGCTAATGACAATGTGCAATGCACAACTTCGATCACTGACCACATGCAATTTGAACTTAACAAGTTTCAGGCTATATTCCATAAACAAAACGCATTGATTTATGGCTCGTGCACCCGAGTTCTGTCTCTGTCACATTATTGCAGACAGGCAGGTGTGATACTTGTACCCTTCGACATGTTATGGTGTATGTTGATTGCAAAATGTTATACACAAAAAATGAGCATGTATTTACAAAACCCAGCATTTCTATACACACACAAAGAGCGTATCGGCAAATGAACCAGCCAATGAAAGCCTTCGTTACACTTAAGTGCACGCCCACCCGCTCTGACTGGGTTCGGTATCCCGGGTGCTTCGATTCGAGGGAAGTAACCCCAAGTACAAATTATAGCACTTTTGATTTGTGATTGTACGCTTATAATTTTGTTTATTTGTTTTTTCATAATCAGCAATGTATATTATATGTCATGAATAAGTGATAATTGTGTTTTAATTGTGGTTGCATGTGACCTTTAACGTTTTAACTTGCCACCCAGCATCACCACCTCGTGTATTTTTACCCTTCTAGAGACATACCTTCTATGTTGACGTATAAGCTCTTGGAATCGGAGGCAGAAGATCCTCTCTTTACGTGGCAGGTGTAGTTGCCGCTGTCCTCCACGGCGGCGTTAGGGATAACCAAGACGCGGTTGAGGTCACTGTACCGCACATTTCCTGCCATAGGAGCATCGTCTCGTGTCCACGAGTAGTACAGTGGGAGACTAGGTGGAAGTAAGGGTCAAGGTCATACTCTAGCGCGTATATTATATTAGTTGTCCTCGAGTAGTACAATGGAAGGTTAGGTGGAAGTAAGGGTCAAGGTATTATTCTAGCACATTTAGTATAGTAGTTGCTGCGTACTTAATGCCAAACATGTAATTTCGTTCTACATGGACGCACAATGTTCATATCTTATCGTATGTTTTAAATTGTTTGTTGTTTAACGCCACACTCAGTAACTTTCCAGGTGTGGGGTCTGAAGCAGACAATCCAGTGATGAAGAGCATGAGCATGGATATAGGCTATTGGGATACGATGACACGTGTCAACCAAGAGTAAATTTAGAAACGGAGTCTTGCATCACAAAGCTAAACCTCAAGCAGTTGTACAGCTATATGGGAGTTACAAAAACGTTGACATCGCAATGAACCTTTGCGTTATTGCTAATACCAGTTGGCATTAACCTAAGTGTTACCACGAGAGTCAGTGCTGGCGCAAGTAATATTGGCGTAACTAGCAGTTAGTAATATATCAAAGAATAAAATCCAACCCAGAATAATGCTGAATATCAGATCCCTAGAAGAGACTTCCCAAATAATTGTGGGTAATTATTTTGGGTTTCACTAGGAGAGGGTTTCACTAAGTTGGAATAACTTATACCCAATCCATTCTCTTAAATAAATATGTTTAAATCAAATCAATTATTTTGGGTCACCAATGCGCTATTCTATATTTTTCTACCACTTAGCAGATCAGTTTTCTCCTACGACGTATTCTCTTATTGTTGAGGTGACACCCTGACGTATTTACGTATGAAAGGTTTGAATGTCATGAAGGTCCGTACCGTCCGTATGCCAGACACTCTAACCGGATGTCTTCACCACGGAGGGGTGGGCTGGGGAACACGGCGGGGAAGTCGTTGTGGACGATGGGGCCGAAGTCGTTAGCAGCTGTAACAGAGTGAGTGAGTATGGTTTTACTCCGCTTTTAGCAATATTCCAGCAATATCATTGCGGGGATCCGTAGAAATGGGCTGCACACTTTGTGCCCATGTGGGGAATCGAACTGGGGTCTATGGCGTGACGAGCGAATACTTTAACAACTAGGCTACCCCATCGATGTAACAGAACAGTTTAACTACCTTTTAAACTTAATTGTTGAAAACATACTTTGTACACATAAAACTTTAAATGAATTGGGCGAAAATGTTTAAACTAGATGCCCTTTCCATAACTAGACATACGGTGAGCGGACAATATAGTATATATTAAACTCTGAAATAAATAAAGTGAATTAAATAATAGACAATTAAGTGAGATATGTTTATGTCCATATACTGAAGGACGAAAGAAGGGGAACGGATGTTATAATAATCATCTCACTGACATGTCACGTGTCTTTGCAGAGCGACTTTGGGTTTACGCCACTTAAGCAATATTGCAAGAATAACGCTTCATAGTTGGGCTTCATACATGCAAGAATCGAACCGTCTTTTGGTGTGACGAGTGAACACTTAATCCACTGGACTAAAGGCGCGAAGGCTTGACATGATATTCTATTTCACTCTTCTGAAGCATTCTATTTCTTCTGCTGGATGGACAAGCAGCCTTAGTTAGAAGCCCAGTTTTAGGCATCACCCGTCGTGACATGGCTACAGTTCTAAAACAGCGTTTATTTTCAGTCACTTTTCTGTTATGGGTGATCCTATTGTTTTCGTGAAATGTGTCGTATATTGATTTTAAAATGTTTTGAAGCTGAAGAATATAGGTGCGTAGGTAGAACCTTGGAACAACACACGTCGCCCCGTGTTGGTAAACGTCATGTGACGTCACGTTTAATTTGAAACACATATCAATATTGAAACGATTTTCACCGTTTTTACATTTTATCTTTAGATATTCGCCTAATGTGTAAAATGACACTTTTTCATGACGATTTACTCTCGTGCACGAATCAATAATATCAACTATATTTCTACTTTAAAATTTATCATTACTTTGCTTCAGCATTGACGGCATGGAGACTGCACCCTGTGACATCGGCCTACTGCTACTGAGGAGGTTGACGTGGTGACAGAATCTGTAGCTGGGATCATGTATCGTGACAAAAGGTTGCCAGCAGATGAAGCCTCGTCTTTCCGCACACATTGTATGTATAATTACCCCATCTATTCTTTACACTGAATGACAGGTATTTTTAGTTATCCATGCTCTCATCAACATTATTTTAAGTACCGGTATATGTATCGGGACGGTCGTGGTGGGTGTTTATTTGTTTATTGGTTTGTTTGTTGTTTAATGCCGCACTCAGCAACATTCCAACTATATGACAGCGGTCTGTAAATAATCGAGTCTGGACCAGTGATCAACATCATGACCATCGACCTACGCGATTGGGGTTGGTGGGAGGAGGTGAAGGGGTGTGGGGAATGCGTCTCTGGAAATTCTTGTCCATTTAAACGGTTTTACAAATGTCCAAGATATTTTTAAGTTCTGATGAAGGGATTGGTCTGAAACGTTGTGAGAGAAATTGTTTAATCGTAAAATTGGGATTACAACTTCTAAATTACTGAAAGACGGTTTTACAAACTGAAAGGCTTTGTTGATCATGGGATTAATAATCATAAGTCATCACCATCATTAGTCATAGTCATACGTACTCTCTCCTGTGATAATGAGTTGAATGCCGAGGCTGGTCCGGCTAGGGGGCTGGGAGGTGGCGACCGTCTGTCCGAGTGGGGCGGTGAGAGTGACCACACAGTGATAGGCCCCGGCGTCAGATTGCTGAGTCTCCGAGAAATACAATTTCCCGTTGTTGGAGATGAACATGTATTGATTGAGGCTGGGCCGTACAAAGTGTGCCGCGCTGTTCTTGAACCACTGGTAGCGGAGAACTGAAACAGTGAGTGAGTGAGTGAGTGAGTCACTACGTGCGTGCGTGCGCGAGTGAGTGAGTGAATGAGTGAGTGCGTGAATGAGTAAGTGAGCGAGTCAATCTAACGCCAAATTTCGGTTACATCAGCAATGTATGGGAGGATTTCCAACCCCTCGGTGTTGTCACGCGAATCTTGGATCTTGACATAAAATTTTAGTTTATATCGTGATATGATGTCTATAAAATATGTAATTCAATGTCGACGTTTAAGTGGTGTATTGAATACACAGTTACGTTTAAGTGATGTGTTGAATACACATAGTCGACTTTTAAGTAATGTACTGAGCACATTTTCGACATTAACGTGTTGTATTAAAACACGCAATCGATATTTAAGTGAGATATTGTATACACACAGTTTATTTACATTAAATTAAATTACGTTTTGACAACATTCACTTGACAGCTAAGTTATGTTTTAATACATGCTGTTCGAATGGTAAATAGTAAGGCATGTGTAAAATTTAATTAACACCTAAGCGTGTCTACCACTTACCTGGATTGAAGTTCGGGGGATTACAGCTGACCACTGTGCCCTGGTATAAAGGCGCTCGTACCGCTCCAGGGGGGTCGTTAGAAAACTCGTACAGGTCTGCAAGTGGAAGTTGTAGTCGCAAGTATACGCACGGGTCTGGTCGTAAGTATCAACACGGGTCTTGTCGTAAGTATCAGCACGTGTCTTGTAAGTATAAGCACGTGTCTTCTCGAAAGTATAAACACGGGTCTTGTAAGTATAAGCACGGGCCTTGTCGAAAGTATACACGGGTCTTGTAAGTATAAACCCGTGTTTTGTCGTAAGTATAAGCACGTGTCTTGTCGTAAGTATACACGGGTCTTGTAAGTATAAGCACGGGTCTTGTCGTAAATATAAGCGCTGGTCTCGTCGTAAGTATAAGCACTGGTCTTGTCGTAAGTATAAGCTCGGGTCTTGTTGTAAACCAGGGTCTTGTTGTAAACCAAGGTCACGTAACACAAAGTGATCGCAGCGCAAAGGTGATCGTAACGCCCTCACTTTAACGCAGACTTACGACAGCGCTATGATCGCTTTGTGGTAAGGCACCCAGGACGTAGGAGTAGGGTCGGATATGTGTCGTCTTTAAATGTCTTTCACAACCTTGATCCATTACTTAAGATCACATCATCACATCTGTCTTTCGGTGTTAAGGTGGCATGTTAGGTAAATATATAGATACATATCGCGATAGTGCTGACTATGGTTTTACACAGCTTTTAGCAATATTCCAGCAATATCACCGCTGTAGACACGAGAAATAGACTTCACGCACTGAACCCGTGTGGGGAATCACAAGACACACTGCTAAGAGACACACACCGGAACCAAAGGGAATGAATACCCGCTAGGGCTGTGGGGGTCCGGTGTTTTGTATATTAAAAGGCCATATATAGTGTTATCACTTTAGCAGAATCAGGGTCAAAAGCATACCAGAGACCATCATCTCATATGTGACCTCTACATGACATAAGGACCCCTAAGGCCTGGGGCCCGCCCGTTTCACAAAACCATCGTGGCGGTAAGGTGATCGTAACTCTTATACTTTAACATAGACTTACGACAGTCGTAGCTCTACAATCTTTTGTGAAACGGGGCCCCAATCTACAAAACGTTCTTATCTACAAAACGTTCACTGTGCTATTCATAAGCCTGTGATAATGTATAGACTTACGATAGGTCGTAACGTTACGAAGGCTTTGTAGATCGGTACCTAGATTATACGTGTGCACTTTAAGGCAACTTACAACCAAAGGACACTTGGATGGGGTCGCCTAGTATGATCCCCTTTTCGTTCTCAGCAGCACATTGGAAGTCCCCGACGTCTTCGGTAGCATCTGGGTTGACGAAGGACAGCTTCCCATTGGTCAGAGTGTAGCGGGAACTTGTCTGTGACGTCACCTGATACCAGTCACCTTGAGTATCTTTTTCATCCATCGGTAGACAGGCTGGGGATGTCCCGTGGCCGTACACTCGATAAACGCATTCACAGTCTTGCCCACAACAACCAGGTCACGAGGGGTGATCGAGAACTTCGGCCCCTTCACAACCTCGTTGGGATCGGTGACAGATGCCCCATAGCCTGGATGATTAGGAGAAATATTAGTGGAATTCCGATTTCGAATTGTCCCGTAGAAACCTTACTGGTCCGGCATTAAAGGCGACTTAATAGACTGGGTGGTCAGACTGTCAGACTTAATTGGTTGATGCTGCGAACAATTGAATGCGTCAGTGTAAAATAGTCACAACCCACTCATCATGCTTATTCCAGATAATTAAATATAGTGGTTTCCAAGGTCCAGTATTATCATTTTCAACATGAAATGACAGTTATCACTCGTTCTGTTATCGCAGGGATTATATAGGGGATTTCCATTGGCATCTTCATAATTATCATCCTCATGTTACGTTAAAAAAATTAATCAAGACAAGTAATGATGATGATGATGATGGATGACTATTAGTATATGGTGGATTTCCATTGATATCTTCATAATTATCATAATCATGTTACGTTACAATATTGATACGTTACAAGTGGTGATGATTCTGATGGATGATGGTGATGATGATGATGATGATGATGATAATGATGATAAAAGTTACTGACTGTGGTCTCTCTCAGCCTGGATAATCCTGTACGCCTCGTTCAGGCTGATCTCACAGATGAAGGGAAGGCTTACATCCGCCGACTCACGACCCCACGCGAACCTCGTCTCTGTGGCTATTGAAACAGGTTTTATACGTTAATAATTACATCAACAAATATTCAACATCTTATCTAACACGATATGTCCTTACTATCATCAGTGTGTTCAAAAGATTGACATTATCTTTTCTAGTGAAAAATGTACGGTGATATTTTAAACTTTTCCCATGTATAAACTTTCTGTGAGCAAATACATGGCCACCTTCGTGTCAATGTTTCGACATTCGACGAATGTACAGACAAAAGACACGTATTCATATGCAGACACCTGATGCATCCCCTCTACCGGCTTCCTCCAGGCAACCAACTGCATCCCTACTACCACTTCCTCCTATCTATCAACTGCATCCCCACCATCGGATGCATCCCCTCTACGAGCTTCCTCCAGGCAACTAACGGCTTCCCAACTATCCACTTCCTCTCTCTGTCAGCTGCACCAAGAGATGCATCCCCACCATCAAATGCATCCTACCAGCTGCCTCCAACCAATTTCATCCCCACTTCCTAATTCTTCCATCAGCTGCATCACGATAACCCACCTCATCTCACTACCCATTATATCTACTCCATCTACAGCATCTTGACTCTCTGCAGCACCAAAACAACCAAGTGTATCTACATCACGACAATCTGATGTATCCCAACTACCAAGGGCATCTTCATTACCCACTGTACTAGATTTACAAACCACTCGTGAAGATCCGGGTTAGAATTGATCTTCAGCAACCCACGCTGAGTGCGGCGTTAAACACCGAACAAAGCAAACCAAATCATAACCAACTGCATCCCGGCTCTCCGCTACACACCAACAACTTACTGCATCCCGGCTCTTTGGTACACACCAACTACCAACTGCATCCCGGCTCTCCGCTACACACCAACAACTTACTGCATCCCGGCTCTTTGGTACGCACCAACTACCAACTGCATCCCGGCTCTCCGCTACACACCAACAACTTACTGCATCCCGGCTCTTTGGTACACACCAACTACCAACTGCATCCCGGCTCTCCGCTACACACCAACAACTTACTGCATCCCGGCTCTTTGGTACACACCAACTACCAACTGCATCCCGGCTCTCCGCTACACACCAACCACTTACTGCATCCCGGCTCTCCGCTACACACCAACAACTTACTGCATCCCGGCTCTTTGGTACACACCAACTACCAACTGCATCCCGGCTCTCAGCTACACACCAACAACTTACTGCATCCCGGCTCTTTGGTACACACCAACTACCAATTGCATCCCGGCTCTCCGCTACACACCAACTACCAACTGCATCCCGGCTCTCCGCTACACACCATCTACCTACTGCAATCCGGCTCTCCGCTACACACCAACTACCAACTGCATCCCGGCTCTCCGCTACACACCATCTACCTACTGCAATCCGGCTCTCCGCTACACACCAACTACCAACTGCATCCCGGCTCTCCGCTACACACCAACTACTTACTGCATACTGCACCAATCAACCCGGCATCCCGGTTCTCCGCTACACACCAACTACCAACTGCATCCCGGCTCTCCGCTACACACCATCTACCTACTGCAATCCGGCTACCAGCAACATTCCTACTGCAGCCCCACGCTGCGAGACGAGAGTGACGTACTTGAGTATTTGTAGACAACGTATTTCGTGGCAAGGTCCCTGTCCTCGGGCTGAATCCAGTATTCTTCCGCCTGCAGCATGGACGTCCCATCCCCCTCCCAGTGTAGGTCATCGTTGGCCCCTATTCCACTCGTCCACCACTTGTTCTTCCTGCAGACGAAGACGCACACAATAAACATCGGGGGCTCACAGTCCTAACTGACTATCCCCAGTGAGAATGCTGTCACGATACATTCCGCGACAGTGATTTGCAAATTACGCTTTTTGGATTAAGAGTGAGTGAGTGTAGTTTTACGCCTCTTTAAGCAATATTCCAGCAATATCATGGCGGGGGACACCACAAATGGGCTTCACACATTGTACCCATGTGGGGAATTGATACCGGGTCTCTGATGTGACGAGCGAACGCTTTAACCACTGCGTCTCCATCGGACCTTTGTAGATTTAGAAAGCCAAGCATATGAAGGCAATAGACCACACTTATATCGAAGAGACGTGACTTCGAGACAAGTTGGACACATCATTGTTCGACACAACAGTGTTTGTTCCATTACCAATTGTTATTTAACGAATTTTGACATCTAAACAAGATATCGCCGGTGATGTTCCCAATTGATCAACTGATCGCCGGTGAAGGACACAAATTGAATTGGATCAACTGACACACAAACTTGAAGTGTATGTGTCGAATTCGAAAACATGTATTCCGTCTGTACCCACTGCTTTAAGAAATAATATTTTCATTCATTTCATTTCATATTTTCAGGGAATGTTATTCGAAAGCACGAAATTGTTCGGAAAGGATTTCTGGGGTATAGTGGTATCGTATCGAAGACCGGGTTCGATTCCCAACATCAAACAGCTTGTGGTATGAAGGCGGCGTTTTTCGATTTTGACACTCTGACATTTTCTTTATCAACTTCGCATGGGCACGAATGATGTATCTGGTTAAAACAACAAGATCATCCCTTACTTGCACACGTATAGTCTGTCATACAGACCCTGTAACAAATGTATCCAAGAACACCTACGCAAGTCTAGAATATGTGGCAAGTCTAGATTTTCAGTTTCAAGCTGAAAATGAAGAACGTCTCTGGGCTCCTTTTCATTATATTTAATGATTATTGTTTATGGACAGCACGGAAATGTACCTTATTATATAATTATATTTTCTTTTATATCCTGACACAAATTACAACAAATACGTGTTTGGCCCGAGTGAGTCACAGTTATATATTATTCAGGTATATTAAAAAACACAAGGAGCGCTGGTTTACAGTTATCTTGGGACTGTTACATTCATGACTTGGGGGTGCAGTGCAACTGACATGACGGTTGCTGCCCCCTTGTACACACCCACCTGTTGGTGTCGTAGCGCGTCAACCACGTCGACACAAACTCGTGTTCCTGTTTGGAATTAACGCTCAATAAGGACGCCCCGTCAACCTGAAACAGACAGACACTAAAATAATTCACAACCACATTTGGGGCGGTGCGGTAGCCGAGTGGTTAAAGCTTTCGCTCGTCACGCCGAAAACCGGGTTCGATTCCCCACATGGGTACAATGTGGGAAGCCCATTTCTGGTGTCACCCGCCGTGATGTTGCTGGAATATTGCTTAAAGCGGCGTAAAACTAAACTCACTCACACATTGTTTCCATCCACACAGTGACATTCTCAAATGCTGCTTCACGTGGCGTAAAATCCGGTTTACTCAGGTTGTGTATGCACAATTCTCAAATAACATCGATAGGTTTTCAACCAGTGTACCTGAGAAACTGTATAATGTTTAACTTGGATCAAGCAGCCTGTTGAGATAAATCTTTACTTCTCGTGAAATAGACAACAACAAATTTTTAACCTCTTAACATTTCAGATTACCAATTTTCTGGTGTGTATGGTTTTGCGTTGATATGTCTTCCTAACGCTATCGTAAACTGTTTTTGAACAATTCTTATCACAATTAAGGCTCCGTTTCACAAAACTATCGCCGCGCTACGACTGTCCTAAGCCCATGTTACAATATAGGAGGTACGAAGGTTACGAGAAAAGTTACGAGATCTTAGGCTTACGAGAGCTTTGTGAAACGGGGCTCTATTCTTACATATCGAACCCGTGAAGATCCGGGTTAAATTGATATTCAGCAACCCGTGCTTGTCGTCAGAGGCGACTGACGGGATCGGGTGGTCAGACTCGCTGACTTGGTTGACACATGTCATCGTATCCCAATTACGTAGATCGATGCTCAGGCTTTTGATCACTTTATTTAAGAAATACAGTTCGCTCTACCCCCATGTATAGTGTAATAAGTTAAAGTTACCCCATTGGCACGAGGCACGTAGCCCGAGATGCCACTACGGTCAATCAAAAAGCCAGGACAAATCGTGTTGTAACAGACAAACCTGAGTCGTGGGTGGGGTAACAGACTTGTACCATGAGATTTCGGCGGTGTGTTTAAAACAAAGTGGCGGGAAAATGAGTGCACCATATGATGTCATGAATATCACGTCATGCGCGGCATCTTAGGTCGTTTTAAATTAATTCTCAACCATGGAGGACGTGGAAACAAGTTTCATACCCAGCAGTGAATGAGTGGAATGATGAAATTGATGATATTCCACTTTCCCAAGCTGGTGAGGGCGATGGAGTTGAATTTAAAGTTTGAGGACCTAACTTTATCCCAGTCGAACATTTGCGAAAAGTCGCGATCAAATTGACCTGGATGTCAATGGATGATCTTCAATTCGACCCGTTTTCTGAAGAAAATAGGCCTGATGACATTACTAATCCTGTTAACCCGCTCAAACTGAACGATTTGCGAAAAATCAGAGAACGATATTTTGCAACGCATAGCTGATGCTGAAAGTAAGGCGAAGTGCGTATTTTCGACCAATGGCGATGATCCCGACAAGATATTTGTGTGCCAGAGATCAAAGACTTAACATCCGCCGATGTAAACAACTATCTGTCCAGGTTTGTGTTGGAAGCGCGAAAGGTAGATGGTTCAGAATATCCACCCAAATCCCTCTATCTCTTAGGTGCCGGTTGCTACGTCGCATGCGGGAAATGGGAAACATCGGCGTTAACTTTTTGGATACGAAAAATCTAGCGTGTCAGCGTTTCCGATAAGTTCTGAGTGCCGAGATGCGAAGATTACCAGCAAAAGGTATCGGCACGACTGTTAAACAAGATGAACCCATCAGCGAAGAAACCGAGAAAACTTTATGGGCTAAAGAATTGCTTGGGCATAAAACCAGCCAAAGTCTCCTGAACACAGTGTTCTTCTACAACTGTAAACTTTCCGGACTCCGAGCCTGTGATGAACATAGAAGCCTACAAGCTAATCAAATTTTGGTCGGGACTGATCAGAAGGGACCATATATCGAATTTCGTGGAACTACAGCCAAAAATTACACTGGAGGTTTGGCACACCGGGCAGTCGAGGCAAAAGTATTGCGTCACCACTCCACTGCAGACTTACCACGCCTGTATGAACTGTATCTATCCAAGATTGACAACAGTGGGCCGTTTTACAGGAGACCCCTTTCGGCTAAAGGAAATGACAAAAACATTCGATTTTCCAGTCAAGTGATTGGTGTCAACAAACTGAGCACTTTAGAGAAGAATATGTTCACTTCCGCTGGTATTCCTGGCTACTTCACAAACCACTCCGGGAAGCGCACGTGTGCTACACGTTTGTACGAAGAGGGAGTAGAAGAGCAGGAAATAATGCGAATAACCGGGCACAGAAGCGCTGAGGCAGTGAGAAAATACAAGCGACCATCACAGTCTTTGTTGTCAGCCATCGAAAACAAACTGGATCCACCTTTTGCACATAAACGAATGAAAACGGAGCCCTCTGCCACTCTAAACGCGGCGTCGCAAGTCACGGAGACGGCGGCGTCCACACCATCTATTGTGTATCAAAACTGCATCTTTAACTTTTAATTCCAGATTGAAAACAATCAGACGAACATGTGTATCGGAACTGTTTCTTTAAATTTCAATTCAAAATTGAAAACAATAGCAAAAGTACGAGGACGCTTTTTTCTAAGATGCCAANTGTTTTGTGATTTGATACCTACCGACGATAAATCTAAGGCAGAAGACAAACAGAAAAACGACGGTGTCGATGACCTAAATTAACAATCCTCGCTCAGGGCTAACTTACGTGCTGTTCTATTGGCTTGTCTGACCCCCAACGTTAAGACGTACGTCACCAGAAAAACAAATGATAAACAGTTTGATGACGGTTGACATTCGGATTAAATATCTTCTCTAAAGTAATAAAATTATTTTGTATTTCATCTGTGATTAATATAAACCATATAGGGCAATATGCAGGGGCGTCGCTACCATTATGAAAAAAGCCCGGGCTTATACAAGATTGTGGCTAAAAAGGTTGGGCAAGCCCTCAATACTATCTAAATATAAATCTTTCCAACCTATCGGGCTTACCCGAAAAAATGGCTTGCTACGCGCCTGATATGATCGTCGCATTTCGGGTGGTCAGGCTCGCTGACTTGGTTGACACATGTCATCGTATCCTTATTGCGTAGATCGATGCTCATGCTGTTGATCACTGGATTGTCTAGTCGATATACGATTATTTACAGACCGCCGCCATAAAGCTGGAATTTTGCTAAACACACTCACTCAATCTTACATATCGGGTAGTTAGCTTCTTTTTTGCATTTAACCTACTTGGTATCATTCTTTCAGAATTTAGGGCGGGAACTTTCCATGAACTTACTTGCTGCAAGTATCCAGAAAGTAAAATCCAGTTTGAAGAACCACCCACAGGCAAAGCTGTTTCACCAATACGGGTCTACCCAAACATACCGATTTTTTCCAAAACATTTCACAGCTTACCTCGCAAGCCAGGCTGGCCTCTGCGTGAACTCGAGTTGGATAAAACACAAAGTGATAGCATCTCTGTTCAAACTGCTCCCACCCAAGCGGGCAATCTGAAACAACACGCTCATTTGCATACAGACAGATCATCAGACACAATGTAGGTCTCACCACCACAGTGCAAAACAGGAATAAACTAAAATACTGACATGGAGCTTTGAGACTATCAAAACAAACGAACGAACCAACGAACCAACAAACAAACCAACAATATGTATTATGGGTTGATTACAATGGTAATGTCTAAACCTGGAACTAAATGGCATTGGAGACGCGTGTGTCCGACCTGCCTGCTAAGGTGTCAGAACCGATGTCTTTCAGCCTCAAATTCAAGCAAACTGTAAAGGCGAAGGGGAACGTTTCAAAATACAATTATCTGAGACGTCATTCTTCAGAATGTCGACAATAGTACAGGCGACAGGGATGTGATTTACTTACCATAAAGGTTTTGGCAGCAGACCAGTGGGATACAGAGCACAATGAAGAGACGGTCTACAATAGTACAGGCGATAGGGATGTGTTTTACTTACCATAAAGGTTTTGGCAGCAGACCAGTGGGATACAGAGCACAATGAAGAGACGGTTGAGGACGTCCATTATCAGGAGCAAAACATCAGGCGGCAGGGCAGACAATCTGCAGAAACGGGTCTGTACTCTTCACTATGGAGGAATAAAAGATTATATATATATACGTGTCGACTCACCATACAGTGACAGTAGCCAACATCACGTGTCAGCGGTAACAGTTTGCAGACACACGTGTAGAATCACATACGTGTGCCAACAGATTCACCATACAGTGACAGTGACAGCCAACATCACGTGTCAGCGGAGACAGTCTGCAGACACACGTGTAGACTCACCATACAGTGACAGTAGCCAACATCACGTGTCAGCGGAGACAGTCTGCAGACACACGTGTAGACTCACCATACAGTGACAGTAGCCAACATCACGTGTCAGCGGAGACAGTCTGCAGACACACGTGTCGACTCACCATGCAGTGACAGTAGCCAACATCACGTGTCAGCGGAGACAGTCTGCAGACACACGTGTCGACTCACCATACAGTGACAGTAGCCAACATCACGTGTCAGCGGAGACAGTCTGCAGACACACGTGTCGACTCACCATACAGTGACAGTAGCCAACATCACGTGTCAGCGGAGACAGTCTGCAGACACACGTGTAGACTCACCATACAGTGACAGTAGCCAACATCACGTGTCAGCGGAGACAGTCGTGTGCAGACACACGTGTCGACTCACCATACAGTGACAGTAGCCAACATCACGTGTCAGCGGAGACAGTCTGCAGACACACGTGTAGACTCACCATACAGTGACAGTAGCCAACATCACGTGTCAGCGGAGACAGTGTCATACAGTGACACACGTGTCAGCGTAGACTCACGTGTCATACAGTGACAGTAGCCAACATCACGTGTCAGCGGAGACAGTCGGCAGACACACGTGTAGTCTCACCATACGTGTCGACTCAGTGACAGTGACAGCCAACATCACGTGTCAGCGGAGACAGTCGGCAGACACACGTGTAGTCTCACCATACAGTGACAGTAGCCAACATCACGTGTCAGCGGAGACAGTCTGCACACTTATTGAAGAAAGCAGACACAACATGCTACTATCCCAGAACGCATCACGTGTTAGAGCACACAGTCTGAAGACACGTGACTCACCATAAAATTACCACTACCCGCTCTATGTACCAGAACAGACAGTCGTAACTGAAAACTATCCGTATACCTTACACAGACCACATCCATTTGAAGACACGTGGAGCAAAGTGAAAACTTTCCACCCGTATCACTCTATATATGTATATATTCTCTCGAATGACCAACTCTTCGTATCTACTTAAACATGCAGAGGCAGCCGGAAATATACATTTGCAAATTAAATTTGACACAAACAGGATCAAAACTGGCTGATTTATGGTGATGACGTTGATACGCCTCTGAAATACTTCATCAAATAACCATTTGTTGCTTTCCCATCAAACATAGGCATATATTCTCATTTGGCCCGACAGTTTATCTATTTTAATACACACTATCAAATTAGTTGCATTTACTTACTAAATAGACTGACTGACTGACTGAGTTTAGTTTTACACCGCTTTTAGCAATATTCCAGCAATATCACGGCGGGGGAAACCAGAAATGGGCTTAACACATTGTGCCCATGTGGGGAATCGAACCCGGGTCTTCGGCGTGACGAGCCAACGCTTTAACCACTAGGCTACCCCACCGCCCTACGAAATAAAGACAGATGAAGCAGATGATAATATGATGCAAGTTATAAGCATTCATTTGATAACAACCTTTTCAGAGAAAAAATACCTGAAACATTTTTACATAACAAACGATCAGAATGTAGATTTTCACACTGAATTGTGAAAAGTCAGAATTTACCAATTTTGTACATCTGTATTGAGAGATGTTTCAGTGATATTCTAGAGTTATGTCCCTTGCACTAGTCAGACCATGCGATGCTGTTCAACAGGATATGTGGGGTTGTATGGTAATTCATTTCATTTCAGACGGTTTGTTCACCTCGTGATTGACAGTTTAGCGTGTGGATTTAGGATTTCTACACCATGGGATCTTCAAGCTTCCCTCAATGTCAGAAGACATATCACGAAAGAACTGTATTCTATACAAAGGACTGATATTTATATATTTATGTCATAGCTTGAAAGTGAAAAATAAAATGTTTATCAAAATTAACTTACAGACACCTACTTAAACATTAATGCTTAATTAATAATTAGCGTCAAAGGTTTAGAGAACCAAAATTACATTGGCATCTAAAGTATAACAATACTTTGTCTCGCACAAAATATACTGCCGAGCCCTCAGAAAAGGATATTCTTGAAAATTGGATTTGACCAGAATATGACAAACGTTTTCAGGACCTTACTACCCTGTACCCATCACATACCGTGCATGTGTCTGTCTACCACAAACCGTCATAATTTATTAAATTAAATGCATATTAGTGCATGCTAGTAATTTAACATTTTGTCATCTACGATATGCATTAATATTAGTAATTTAAATATTTTGTCGCCTACGATATGCATTAATACTGTCATACAAGTAGTTAAGATACTATTAAGAAACATTTCGGCTTCATAAATTTATTTCTCGGGCAGTTTTCTAAAGCAAGGGAGGTAGAACTGTTGAACCATAAAACTGTGTCATGGAAACATGTTTAGTGATTAGGGGGAAATATGCTTTCATGTTTTCTCCACCAAGACAACTAACACATCTAGAATGTTGTTTGTGCTTATTTCATATTAAATCTAGGAGTGAGTGAGTGAGTGAGTTTAGTTGTACGCCGCACTCAGCAATATTCCAGCTATATGGCGGCGGTCTGTAAATAATCGAGTCTGGACCAGACAATCCAGTGATCAACAGCATGAGCATCGATCTGCGCAATTGGGAACCGATGACATGTGTCAACCAAGTCAGCGAAACTGACCACCCGATCCCGTTAGTCGCCTCTTACGACAAGATAGTCGCTTTTTATGGCAAGCACATGGGTTGCTGAAGACCTATTCTACCCCGGATCTTCACGGGTCATTAAATCTAGGAACGCAGGAAAGAATGTACCTTAGTCTACATGGCAACTGAAAGTGACACGCTGGGGAATCCTCGGATAGGTGACCGTGTTTGGCAGCTTGACTCCAGAGAAATTTCTAGGACTTAGTCCTGTCCCACAACGAAGCACATGTCATGTGATCTCACCTTAGGCAAGTGAGTTTGTTCAAACTTGCCTCTGTTCGCCCAGCAGAAAATGGGTACCCGGTGGGATAAGTCATGTGGCTATTAACCATCGAGCGCCTCACAGGCACCTTGGGTTATCCAAGGTAATGATAGTCAGATTGTGTGTTAGCGCTTTGAGCATGTGCCTTGTAAATGGAAAAGGTGAATTATAAATTCACCATTATTATTAGTATTATAAACATTTCCATTTTGTAACCTTCCTGGGTGCCGTTCCACTAACCGATCTTATCTAAGATCAATCTTAGCAAGTTACGCCAATTTTACAATCGTTTTAACTAAAAGTTACACCCGTTCCACTACCCGATCTTAGGCCGATCGTAGCCGGTCCCGATCTTACGATCCGATCCAAGCTTAGATCGAGACTCTTTCGTGCGAGAGATAGAGGAATGCGAGGCACGAGTTATCTCCCTTTGCATAGTCTAGCAAATGATGGAAGTAGTTTACGAACCAACTGAGTGAGTGAGTGAGTTTAGATTTACGCTGCCCTCAGCAATAGTCCAGCTATATGGCGGCGGTCTGTAAATAATCTAGCTAAGATGCATAGCGTTCACTAGCATGAGCGTTCATGTTAGTGAACGCTATGTATCTTAGCTATAAATAATCGAGTCTAAACCAGACAATCCAGTGATTAACAACATGCGCATCCATCTGCGCAGTTGGGAACCGATGACATGTGTCAACCAAGTCAGCGAGCCTGACCACCCGATCCCGTTAGTGGCCTCTTACCACAGGCATGGGTTATTGAAGTTCAATATTCTAACCCGGGCCTTCATGGGTATTTTTCCAACCAAGTGTAAACGTGGAGAAAAAACCTAGAGCAAAATATTAGGGTAGTGAGCACCTTGGTTTCAGGTGCAAGTGCGTGAGAACGCTGGGTATCAAGCATAATATGATAATAATAAATGCATATTTATAGTGCGCCTATTCCACATCCTTGGGCATGCTCAAAGCGCTGTGTACAGATAATTTACACGAGAATATTTACAGCCGAGATTATAAGTAATATACTGAGAACAGGTTTTAAGTCTGGACTTTAAAAATGTCAATTGTGTCAGAGCTTTTAATATTTGCCTGAACCTTGTCAATCAGAATAAGCAAGGCGTGACAAGGCTATATAAAACGTATGTAGAATCTGTCAGTGGTCTTGAATAACACGCGGCCTGTCTTTAGAATCCCACACCAAATATGCGCAGTGAAATCAAACATATTTGTATCTTTTTGCTTCAGAACATTGTTCACTTCACGGCTGTCCCTGTTCTTAACCATGACGTTGCAATATTGTTGTACAAATGTGTTACACCGACTCGCTCGGTTGTGTTCCCATGACGACAGTGGTCAGACTGGCCTGACATTTGTAAGGCATCAGTGCAGTGTTTGTTTACATCACAGAAATATACAAATTCATTTCATGGGGGGACTTTGGGGACGCTTACGGTGAAATGCTCGCTCTTATTTTTCACAAAGAATAGGAAAGTCACCATTTTGGTTTCTCTACGATTGGTTTTAGCTATCCTAAGTTGGTCATGAGCAACTTAGACTTTGAATCTTAACTTTACGATTGACTTAGGTAAGATTGGTTAGTGGAACGGTATGCCGATCGTAACGTCACGCTAAGATTGGGATTTTAGGGGTTTACGATTGGCATAGGGCTAAGATCGGTTAGTGGAACGGCACCCTGGACGTCAGCGTTAGGAAATGATCACCTTGTAAATTCAGCAAATGCGCCTGACAACGAAATTCGCAGAATTTATAGTTAGCCAAGAAGCGAATACACCAAACATTCACTTGCCTCTGTAGTACAATCTTTGCAACTATCTATGTAA